GATATATGACGTATAATAATATAGTTTCTGCATAGATGTAACGCATACGTTGTAAAAATGTAGAACATTGCAAACATTTCATGCCCCCACCAACATACTGCAACATATGAAGACCATTTCGGAGAAAGGCTCATTTGACCCTTATGTGTCGGGGAAAACTGCAGCTGTGTGATATATATATATATATATATATATATATATATATATATATATATATATGTATATATTTTAATATATATACCTATATATATAGCAATGCATAAAGACAGGGACAAAGGATAAAATTTTTCTTCTCACCACATAGGAATCAAACTCATACTCTCTGATTTAGGGCAAAAAGCATGACCAGCACTCCATAAACACTTGTGTGTCATTGCCATAACACACCCCCAAAAAAATGAGCAGCACACTTTACGAGGTTGTAACAGCTGGCTGATTTTGGTGGGTATTTTAAAAAATAAAAAGGAGGAAGAGAAGAAGAAGAAGAATGGTAATAGTAATAATAATAATAATAATAATAGTAATAATACTTAAAGCTTCAGCAGATATAAACAGGTAATTAAAAGACAAATCACTTTGCAGAATATTAACACTTTGCCATCACAAGGCTCATATAGTAAAAATCCTTGCCATCACAAGCATTTTGGGGAAATCCAAAGAACCTGGGAGGTAAATATCGCCGATCTGCGTTTTGTGACGCGAGCCGGTAGTTCGGCGTTCTTGCTGATTGGCAAGATGTGACGGCAAAGTGTTAAAAAAGACAGTCAAAATCAATGTCACACTAGTAGTAAGCTACTAGTAGATCTGAGTGTAAATGTCGACCAGTGATCCTTTAATATCCCTAAACCAGGGGTGTCAAACTCAACAGCTCAGAGGGACCAAATTCACATTACACTCAAAGTTCCGGGCCGAACTGGATGAACATTTATTCAGCAGTGGAAAATTAAACTTTTAAAAGACAAATCGATGACGCTAAATTAAACAGACAAAAGTTAAAATATCAACAAATCAAGGCATGCCAGTTCTCGCTCTTACGCCACTTAGTCAGAGCTGGATGTTTGGTATCTTTTCTTGGCAACAACTTTGTTTATGCTTGGAGTAAGGTTTTGTATTAGAGATTTTCAGGATGGACTCCCTAAAATTCTTTCGCAGGTTGAATATATACATAAATATATTTGCCTGGCTGGGTTTAGTCTGTGAGCCTTGAGTTTGACACCTGTGCCCTAAACTCACACTTGGGACAAAATTTGTACAAAATGACAAATGCATCTAAAAATAAATCAATTTTTACTGGACAAAATGATACATGTTAAAAAAATATTATATATAATGCGTGCTCTTCCTCTTAAGTTATGTTTTCCCGTCACCCAGTTTGATCGTGATAAACCACACCAAATTCTCTTTGACATTGAGGGAGATTTTGGTGAAGTAAGTTTGTTTTGAGTTAGAGGCAAAGCGAAACACGTCATAGTGATAAAGGTACTATAACGCATTGAAAAGGAAGACAGACAGAAATATACATGTGCTGAGGGATAGTGAGTGGAAATAAAACGGTTCCACAGTGAAAGCACAGCAACGTTCATGAAACTGCTATTACATAATGTGTAGTAATAATAATATTAATAATAATATATGACATGTTTATATAGTGCTCAACCCCGAATAAAGTACTTAGGCTCTGAGTGTTTACAATATGCTGGGTATGAACTTGAGCAAGACAGTCACGCTGGCTCAGGAAAGGGTGCTGCACCGTGCCCAACAGCAAGAACGTGCAACTGTTTGAGATCATAATTTTACTTTGATTATTATGCACATTATTACCACAAAAAAAATAAAATCAGTGAAAAGTACAACCATTTCTATTTTCTAGAGTAATACGTCTGTTGACATTCTTCTCCATGTACTGGCCTACACATCAGCCTCGCCCGAGCATGACTGCACTGGCCTCAACCAGGCAAGACTGGACTGGCCTAAACTGACTATATATCGTGTCAGCTTTTGCTGACCCAGCAAAATCTATCAGTTACACAAGGTTTAACGTGGACAACAACACACTATTCCATGCTAATTTTAAACTCATAGCAAGCAATTTCTTAAAAGATCAATGTAACTACCAAAAAAAAAAAAATTCTGCTGCAAGGAACACCATGAAATTCTGCATTAGAATACAATAAGAATTTTAGTGTCGAGTTAATCCAAAGTAACATTGGACAAAAAACTGACGTCATTATGTGAATGCTCCAAATTGCATACACATCGCCAAGAAAATTACAAACCACAGTTATAATCTCAAATGGAAGAATGGTACCATTGCTCAAGCGCTCACAAATGTTTCATTTTTCCCTTTTCATTTGCTGCCACAATGTTCAGAGCACAGTTTTCTATTTACACTAGTCTTTGATTTATCTCTCTGCAGCTTTCACATGATTGTATTTGCGATACTGTTATAAATATCAGAAATATATAATTGAAGATTTATAAGTATATTTCATTTCTGTTAGTTTTCTTTTAAGTATAACTGAAGTAAGTAAATTTCATTAAAACTGTCGATAAATTTCCTTTTAATTGAAAATGTGATGAGTTCCCGACAATAAGATTTTTTTATATGGGGGCTCTCATGGCCTGGAGGTTAAGGTGTTGGCCTCTCATTCTAAGGTCCCGGGTTTGAATCTGGGTAGCGACCGAAAAAATTTTCTTCTCTAAAATTATCTCCTTTCACCTCATTTCCTGCTCTCTAGCAATGTTCAGTCGTCTGCTTTCGTCTCCTCTTTCTGCCCCCACCCCCTCACCTCCTTTGCCCCCTCCTCTGGGCTCCTGACTCTTTCTGCAGCCTTTCTACTGCTACTTCTTGGCCCCTTCTTACTGCTGTCTTTCAGCCACACCCCTGATCTTCTGGCGGGAAAGATCTACACCTAGCCTTCTCGGACAAGGGTGAAAAATCTTGGAAGGCCCATGTGCAAGTTGCGCGTGTTAAAGATCCCATGGTGGTCTAAAATTAATAAGAGTAGGCTTTCGCCGCCACCCAGGCAAAATTTAAAATTTCCTACCAACTGAAAAAAATTAATGTGTCCGCACGCTCATATGACCTTATGCAGTTGCAGTGCTGTAAAACACTTACCAAAAAAACCCCCCAAAAATGTTTTTCTTCTATCAATAGCACAGTAATTCTTGAGAGCTGCTGGTATTTCATTTCCCTTAAAAATGGTAACATGAATTTAAAAATATTATGCAACCCAGTTCATAGCTGGAGAAAGACTAACTGGAGCTTATACATCATGTCTCACTGGGTAATCCATTGAAAGATAACTGTGTTGCTGACTTGTGAAAGTCTTATATTCATATAAACATAATATATATATATATCTATTTCAATATAATACAAAAGCTGAATAGTTTTGAAGTACAGTCGAACCTTGTTGTACCGCTTCCCCGTGGTACCGCCATCTTCTTGCTCATCCCAAGGTAGGCTGCATAACAGGGTTTGACTGTATACAGCACGAAAAGTTAATAAAAAGAACTCGTTTCATGGGAACCATCTTCGTTAAAAGATTGTCAGTTGAGTGATATATGAAAAATATGGTAAAAATATGCATCGTTACATTACATTTTTTGTCCATTATTCTACACAGAACTATAGTCTTCTGCCAGTAGTAACAGACACTTCTATATGAGACGCAGCGTGGGAAATCAAGCGCTTGTCAAAATAACGAAATCGGAGAAATAGTATTATTCCGATTGTAAATTTTTATCAAATTTTTGTTTTTTCACTCAACGCCTTTTATGTCCTTATAAAAACATATTTCCATGAGCCATTTTCTGGACAACATAGATCGAAGGCACAAAATGTGTAAATTTCTAAGTTTTCAAGGACTCTCAAGCTATTGAAATTACCAAACTTTGGCAGCTATATTCCCACTAATTAGTTATTTTACCTCTGAAACCAGGTGACCTCACCTTCTTCAATTGAAAATATCTTTACTTCTTTTCAAGATAGGAGGGTACTTTTTTCATCAAAAGCAAGGCAAATGAATAAGTATTCACATGATATCAATAACTCCATATGAATTAGACGAGTGCTTGATTCCACCGCGTCGTGACACATGTATATATTTATAGAGAAAAATTTTTCCAATGTCTTTCACAAAACTGACAAAAGACACAATACAAACAGACGTACTTCACTTGTGGGACAAGCCCAAGGCTATGGCTGTTCCCGTTCTTCCAGGAACTGACTCTGCGACCTCAAAATAGAATGGCACATCACATTACACAGTAATGAAAGACACAAAAAGGCAAACTTATTTTGAGTAGGCCATAAGAAAGGGATGGGGAGGGGGAGGAGGTAAATGTGGGAGAGTTGCTTCCCATTCCCATCAACGACATGGGTCAAGATGTTTTTGAAAATTACGAATAAATACTTGAAGAACAGAAGGTGTTTTGAGAGGCAAAGATGCCATTCTCGCATACAAGGTATATCTTAAAATAAGAAAATTTCGGTAACCATGTGACCATAAAACATGCACCACAAGTGATTTTATAACTGCACTGCAATAGATTTGAACAAAATTTTACCAGAAAACTGATGAAAGATTCAAATCTGCCAATGTGAAATGTACGAATCACATAAATTCTTAATTTTCAAGGAGACCGTAAAATGACTGAAGCCGCACCGTCTTGGCTAGCAAAAATTGGTCAGTATTTAAAATTTGTACCAACATACATGACAAAGCTTACGGTCTTATAAGAAGATTGAGAATTCCCATAGGCCATGCTTTGGTTACTTCACTCAAGGCCCCACTTTCATGACCCACTTTCATGATGGGACGAAATCTTAGCGAAGGGAGGGCCATCAAAATAAATGCTCACGAAAATAGAACATTCACAGTTATCCCTCTTCCTGATAAGTCTTATTCCAGAATGATGTCAATACAGAGCCAGATTACAGCACACTTAGTTCTGATTGATTTTCCTCAAGGCTGTGGGGGGTGGGGGGGGGGGGGGGGGGGTGTTGAGGAGTAAAAATCATTGTTTTGAGCAAAGCTCTTGTCTGCTAAAAATTATACATGCTAAGACTGCCAAGGGGGAAAAAAGCAGAGACATTTTGATGATGTTGAGAAAGCTTAGCCTTAAAGTTTGGAACCTCATAACTTCAAAAGTACATCATAGTCCCCCCCCCCCCTCCCCCTTTATTTTTACATGGACCCTTCCTTATTATGTCCTTTTAAAATGTTGCATTACGTTAAACTGTAACGTCATAGCGCCCACATGGGGCGTAACTTAAAGTGATCTAAAAATTAACTGCGGCTATCCCCCTGGCATTCTTCACGTGGAACATTCCTAGCTAATGAAAGCACATTCTGTTTATAAGTACTTTGGGGAGAGAAACACAGTCTTCAGTTATCGCCATCCACATCAGCCAAGAGTGGCGTCTTCGCCTCGTTTGTCTTTCTGGAGTCTGAGGAAGTTCCTACGGTAACCACAGCTGTGCTGGTGAGAGAGGAGCTCGGCCGCGCAGAGAGGCTCGACTCGGCCAGTAGTTTGTAAGACTTTCGCTTCAAACTCAGGTAGCGATGGTAGCGGCAGGCAGCCACCATGTAGAGCCCAGCGACACAAGATATCACCACGATGCCGATCACGTCTGAAACATGGAAAATCAAGGGTAAAAGAGAGTACTGAAAACTCAAGGGTAAGAGGAAGTTGTGGAATTTGTAAGGTCAGAGAAAAAATATATGTGAAACATTCTAGTACGAAAAAAAACCCCCATTCATTTCTTTCAGAGCTCAAATCATGACATCCCAGATAAGACAAACACAGTTCTTATATATGCTATATTTTGCATTTTTAAAAATTTCATTTCTTCCAAATCATGGCGTTCCAGATAAGACTAACACAGTGTTCTTTAGCTGTATTTCGCATGACATTGTGATAGCAAACCTTATAAATCTTTACCTTTAACCAATATCAGGAGGCTCAGAAAAAAGCTGTAGTCGACCAGAATAACAAACCAACAGTTTCTCTCAGCAGCAAAAGTAAAAGGAAACCACCCTAATAAAAACAAAAGTGGGGGAGAGTAGAAATCACAAATTCCAAACAAGAAGATAAAGAGCCATTGAGTAAAATAAAATTTTGCTTGAGAGATAAAGGCAAAAGCATAATCGCAGTTAGCTTCCCTTCAATGTCAATCGAAACATGACAAACTTACCAGAAAAATAACCAAAAGATGGGCAATTACACATGATTTATGCAAAAGAAATTCATGTCTGTGGTGTCATGGAAGAATCGAAAGGATATGTTCATTTACAATATGCTAATGACAGAATCACGCAGAACCAGATGCTGATATATGCATTGCATGAGGTGTGACTTTATGCCATAGAGGCATTACGCTAGCCGCGAATGAAGGCAGACCCGGGTCATCCTGAAACATTGCTGGCTAAAGGGGTTCTGGTGAAACTGTGACTAGCCTGGCAAACTGATGTCGCATAAACAATGCAACAAGAAAACAAAAGAGAATTCATAAAGTAAAGTAAAGGAAGTACTTAGCATTCTCAGGAAATGTGGTTACAAAATATACACAAAATGTCAGCATTTATTCTTTCTACAACTCCCCCCCCCCCCCACCCCGCCCCCCAACAATCCCGGGAATGCTAGGGTAAGAAATACAATTAATTCATTCCACGTATATGTACATACACGTAGTAAATGTGACAACAGAGGAAGACGAGTCCTGAGTGGACATCAGGAGCTGTGACACCACTTCCATAGTCCCGTTGTTGGCGGACGGCTCGAGACCTAGCAGATGGCACATCAAGGGGTAGACATCCACGCTGTGGAACGTGTCCACGGCATATCCGCTCTTGAAGGCCGGGCCCATGGCCACGAAAAACGGATGCATGTCCTGAAGACGGTTGTCAAATCCATGGTTTCCCTCTGCAGATGATGACAAGTAAAAGAGCAGCACAATACAGTTGAAATTCATCGCGTCCATTGTTGAGTAGAAAAGTGGTTGTTTTAGACAGGTGGGCGTCTTGGACAAGGTCAATATATTAGATCTATATAAAAAAATAATGCAGGTTGGTTGTGTGTGTGTGTGTGTGTGTGTGTGTGTGTGTGTGTGTGTGTGTGTGTGTGTGTGTGTGTGTGTGTGTGTGTGTGTGTGTGTGTTAGTGGCTGTTCTTACAGGCACGTCAACACAGCAGAGATGAGGTTGTGAAGAAGAGGTCGTTGAACGCTAATAATTTCTTTCACCATCTATGAAATTTAAAAACAATAAAAGGGCACTTGAATATCAAGGCCCCAAGATCTGGAATGCTTTGCCAAGCAGTTTAAGAGAGATCAAATCCTTTGATTAATTCAAATGTCAGCTGAAGTCATTTTTGTTTTTAAATGGATAAGATGAACATTTTTATTAAGGACATTTTCTTTTGGTCAGAACACAACGTTTTATGTTACTGTTGTATTGAATTGTAAAGTGCTCAGAGCCTGTGTAGACCTACTTCACATAGGGTTGAGCGCTATATAAATGTCATTTATTATTATTATTTTCATTAACACCAAAAAGCCGAGTGAAATTATACTAACTATTGAACTGAATGAAAGGGGCTACAAAATAAATACATAAAAAGAACACTGAACATGGAACAGAAGCACTCACTGTTGTAATAAGGGTGTTTGGCCATGGTGAATGAGAACGTGTCCTTAGCCACAACCACAATAGGGGGGATCCGCTGGTTCTTGGTGTAATGAAATTCTGTTGGAATCTCTTCCTTCTTGAAAACTGTAAAGTGTCCTGATTTTTCCGATCCTTTTTTCAGCTTCATGTAGATTTCTTCTAATTTTCCTGAGAATAGGAGGGGGGTGGGGGGTGGGGGGGAGTAATCAAACTCTTCAAAATCTCCTTTGAAAAGCAAAAAAAGATAAGACTAAGACATGGATAGTTTGAGAGAAAATATTAAAATCCAACAGTTATATGTGCAGCACATTAAAAAAATTTTGAGTACAGTTGTCAGTGGACACTTCTCACAAAATATATATATATATAATCATCACAGCAACCCTGAAAATCATAGTGGCATAGCGTGAACATTTTCCTTTCACATGCTTAAAAGTGTTTGGTCAGTCATTTTGTCACAGCAATTATACTATATATATAGTAAGACGTTAATGAAAGCGCACCAAATCAATATCAGTTCTTAAATTGCTACGTGATCTCATGTCCAGAATGAAAGTCAGTTTGAAACACTTCTCTTTCATACTCGGTGTAAAGTCTGTGCTGCAAATACAAGCAATCCTTTCTTCATTTTTATCCTCAAACACATTGACTCAAATAAAAGAAATTTAATATATCCTTGAAATGCTCTACACTAAAAATCAGTGAGCGCTATTCTGCAATCAATCTACTTGACAAAAACAAAATTGTATTTATATTATCATAATGAGTAAATCTTTCCCAAATTCAGTATCTTCACCCACAAAGGCTCTCTCAACATAACAATGTAAAGGTAAAACTGAAAGGACTCAATTTGGAATCATAGAGAACTGTCATTTCAAAGGCAGAGGGGGCCTTCAATGGTTCCTCGCCTAGACACAGGGTAAGAAGAAAAATTTCAGAAAGGATGAGGAAAATCAGATAGCCCCCTTAGATTTGAAACATCAACTTCCACCTAACAGACCAAACTGTTTTGATTAATTTTAAAATATGGCTGAATATTTATTTTTGAAGGATAGTTTTTTAAATCCAATCTCTCTAACAAAAACAAGTAACATTTAAAATATGAAATGCAGCCACTTAAAGAATGGATGTCAAAGACAGCAATAAAGTGATTTTTATATAACAAGATAATAAATTACAAAATTAAATATGACTGCAGAAGGAGAGGACAAAGTAGTATTTAATATAAATAAAAAGCTTGAATAATTACCCTCATGAGGCCAAATATCAGCAACTGGTGAGGTTGAAGCAATCTCATATGTCTCAGGGTCGATGTAATCATCTAAGTTGATAAAATTTTTCTTTGGTGTTTCTGCAAAGCCATGATCACTCGTTAATATGACGTTAATTTTGCCCAATAAACCAACTTCTTCAAGGCGTTGTAATAAATATCCAACCACTTCATCAAGACCTCCAATCATCCGCGTCACCTCATCTGAATCAGGTCCAAACGCATGGCCATATGCATCAGGTTGGTCAAAGTACATCATCCCCAAATTGATAGGATACTTGTCAAGGTACCAACTGATCACAGTGTCGACTTTTGAAAAGTTCTTCATGCTCCCATCATATCGCACATGTCTTGATGGCAAGACCCACTTTACTGGCGCCTCTCCTCCGACCCACATCATGACCCCACTTCGTCCGTCTGTCTTCTGTATTTGATTTGTAACCCAGATAGGTTCCCCACCAGCGTCGAACCAGGCCGGATCACTTTGAGCCGTTGCATTCCTCATGGTAAAACTTTGATTAAGGATGGGATCATACATGGTGTTTGCAACAATCCCATGGCTTTCTTCCCATAAACCTGTCGCAAGAGTAAAATGGTTGGGGAAAGTTTTGGTAATGAAAGCATTTTTCAGGCCATATCTTGCGTGAACACCATTGAGGAGAAATTTGTCAAAATTTGGAGTCGCAGTTCTTTGCAAATAATTCCATCTGAATCCATCAAATGAAACGATCAAGAGTGGATTACCTGCTGTCTTACTTTTATAGACTGGAGAACATTCGACTGGGATGGATGGCCAATGCAGCAGAGTCAATATAATCAGAAGACACAAATATATTGAGCCATCCATAGTGGGCCTTCTTGTAAAAATTTCACTGCTACACAAATCTCACTTTCGTCAAAGTCACCACAAGGTTCTGTCAGGTAGAAACTGTAAGAGAATAATTATAAAACCATTCACAATTAGACACCAAATTGTTCCCAGTTCACTCAGACTCAGTTGACCTGTTTTATCACAAGATCAAGAGGACAAAATTGAAATCCTTGTTTCACCAAATATAAACATGGCTGCCTACACCCAAATATTGTTGTGTTGGCCTGGTCTGCTGATGTCAATCAGATCTCAACCTAGACCTTGCTGTTCCACACCAGTTCTTGTACTATGAATGACAATTTATGATACTGTACTGATTTATTTATAGCATAGTACTATGCTTGGATTCCTCACTCATGGAGAAGCATGAGTGTTGCAAATTATATATTATGAATAATATTAGATCAAATATCATAATAACTTAAATAAGAAACATGAACAGAGGCCCTATCATCACAAGGTAGAGGTTATGGGTCATGAGTCATGAGTCATAGTCATAGGTTTAGATATCTAGATCTCGATTCTAAACTTTTTAGGTAAAATTTGTTGTTCAGGTTTTGAAAAACAAAATCTGGCTCTTTGGAACACAATTTTGTTTGCTTTCTGTGGGTCTAAATACTGCTGGAAAACGAAAAGTCCCAAAGTTCAAAAGTATTTAAATAAAGGAAAAAAAGAACCGAATACAAAGCAAAAACTAAATTTAACTAAACAAACACATTTATGAGGGAATCGAAGGAAGAACAATGATGTTGTTGACGATGTTACCACGGTCTGTCAGTCAACCGTTTACTTCCTAATAAAACGTATCTAACAGTGCCCTCCCTTGGCAATTGATACCGGTGTTTATAAAAGCATGAGTACTTGGTATATTAAATCCGTGCACACAACGTAAAATAAACCATAAACTTTTTCGAGGAAACCCTTGGAGATTTTGAACTAGTTTATATGTTTTGCCAGATGGAGGAAAGGTTTTCAGATCAATGGAAAACAGTCAGGTCAAATTAATCCGATGATATTTGAAGTGTTTCGAGTCTTCCAGGCTACCCCCCCCCCCCCAGCACACACACACATGGATAGGCCTAACGAATAAGATTAGAACTGGGATTCTCAGATGTATTGGGAGAATGAATCGGTAATGGTAGTGGTAATAAAAATAGAAGTTGCGGTTTGGGGGGGGGGGGGGGGTTCTTTGGAGCACATGGAAACCAATTGGTCTCTATCCCTGAGCGTCCAACCAAGGTCTTTTGCCTGGGCTAGGCTATACATACTACATACTACATACGGTCTCTGCACGGCTGCACGGGAACTGCTCCAGGGGTCAACAGTCAAAGGTCGGGGGCAATTCCGCAACCGTAAACAAAGCCTTACACCTGCAAATTTTTATAATGAAATGAAAGTCATAACTTTGCACAGGTCATGATAACTTTGATAGCGATGAAAACGTGACGCAACCATTGTCAGCAGAAATGTGTGCCATGAGAGGGGTAAGTGGACAGAAAATTGACCTGTGGTTATCAGTATCAGCGAGATATCCATCATCATGTGTGTATGGACACCGTGCATGTTTGCTAAGACCAGGGCCAGGCCGAGGTAAAACAAACACAAAATAACACGACATACTCGGACGTACCCCACCAGTGAAAAAGGAAGTGAATTAACTTTGTCACTTGTGTTCGACGTGCAGGACTCTTTGGAAATTGCCTCCCCCCCCTCTTTTTTTTTTTTACATAAGAAACAAAACTGATTGCAAAGGACAAAGGCCACCTCTATTCTCACCCGGGATGAGAATAGTGCAGGCCAGTCTTTTGGCTATTCTCACCCGGTGCGCGTTCACCGTTATAGCCTAGATCTAGGCCAACAAATTTTGCGTTCACCCTAAACCACAGAATTCTACACTGTGATAAGAGAAAAATTGTAGAATTCTGTGCTGTGAACAAACGTTCCATTACAACTGTACTTGTAGCCTACTAAAAGCGTACAATTTTGTCTGTGGGCAGTGGAGAGAGAGAGAGTGAGAGAGAGAACAAAACAAAATGGCGACCCGCGTAGTTCGGCTCGATTCGAAAAGTTAAATAGCCGTAGCATCTTTGTAGACAACCAATTTAATTTACTTTTGTGTTTTAACATCATTTTTTAACTTTGTTTTGGTCAATTTGATTGTCCACACCGTCTCATCTCAATAGACAGTATTCAGAAAGAGACAGAGAGAGAGAGAAGAGGGCAGGAGTAGATCTTGCGAGAACTTCCGGGCGGGTGAGAATAGCCACTTTCAAGGACAAAAGTGGCCTTTAAATCTCAGGCTAAATAAGAGTGAACCGCATGTGCAGCTACCGCAATTAATTTTAAATAGATGTAGCCAGTAATATTTTTCTGCCTTTTTTGTTTTAAAAATGTTGATTTGGCCGGTTTGAACTCTGGTGGACCCACCGTGTTTCAATGAGCACTATCACTTAGCCATAACCAGAGCTGGTTGTAACGGAGTACAAGTACTCCGGTACTTTGAACTTACGTTACAATTTTCGGTACTTTTACTGTACTCCGGTACAGTTTTGAGAACCAGTACTTTTACTGTACTCCGATACTTTTTATTAAAGTACTTTTGAGTATTTTTAAAGTACATTTTGAGTACTTTTGAAGCTTAATGGGGTAATATTATAGTGCCGGCATTTCTGATAATAATTTAAGGAACAAACACACGGACAAGCACAGCCGATCAACCATGGCAAGAGTTAAAAGTTGAAATCAAAGAATTTAAATGCCTGTCGCGTCTAAGATCAGTCACTCTTGTGAATGTGATCACAAGTGTTGTAAAACTCCATGAAACGGTACAATGTTTGCTCCAGATGGGACACACCAAGGTGTGAACTGACCGATGTGTTTATTTTAATTGGTGTGGTCACAACATAATGGTGCATAACGACAAAGGCGCGGGGGGGGACTCAATCAGAGATGGAAAGCTAAAATTGTTGGACAGGTAAAGGGGAGGGGCAACTAGATAAACGTAGATAAAGATCTCAAGACTCACGATAGAAGGCTAATGAGTGTATGTGTATATACAATATATATGACATGCCTCATGCCACTGTGACTGGTCATCAAGGTTGACCACTCTTTGCTCACCATATGTCATAAACCCACCCAGGGGTCACATCAGTTAATGGGTCACTGTAGATTCTTCCTTGGCTTCGTCGGCTAAGATCCAATATTTTCCTTGCTTTCGGGCCCTGGGATCTAAGGCGGAGACTACTGTAGTAGAGAATCTTTGGTTACACTACTCACTCACTAAACTCTAGGAAACTACATGTATTTTGGTTTGCCATGGGCGCCGTGGACCTCAGAGTGTGACCAAAATCTGTCTTACTAATATATAATCAATTGAAACTGAAACTGTATTCTCAATGTGATCTAACAATTTTTTAGGCTACCTTAATTTCTTTTAAACTTTTTTTTCGGTGGTATTTGCTCAAGGCTGCATTGATTCATTGAGGATTTGTTAATCAAGAGTTCAATGCACTTTTCCACTTCTATGCTGGCCATTTTCATCCATTTTATGTTTTCTTAAGAGCAACTTTGTATCTACATTTTCCAATTTGGATACTTTTCCTGTAAAACTTTCCGACCTCTTGGACTGACTTACATTTGATCACGTCTTGCTCAAACATTAAGTTCTATAATTCATAATATCACTTACCCACTAGTTGCGTCTGTTTGTTGTCTTTTTTGTTCAATTTCACTGACCATTTCCACCTACGTTCAGTGCGTACATTGTATAATCAAATGCTTGGTATGCAGTAGACATTTTTAGTAGTAAATGGCCTAATTTATCAAATATACTGGATGTTATTCAATTTGATGTTTTGCATTAGCACTGAAGTGTTTTAGCATATTAGCAGAAAGTACTCAAAATGTACTCATAAGTACTTTTTTAAAAAGTACTTGTACTCAAGTACATTTTACAGGAAAGTACTTACTGTACTTAAGTACATTTTTTAGATTGTACTTAAATTTGCATTTTTAAGTACTTTTTAAAAAGTACTTTAACAGCTCTGGCCATAACAGTGTGGGGGGGTTAAAGCAGGGGGGCTTACCCCCTGTCAGTGCATGGGAGGCTTCAGGGGGGCTGGTAGTCTAGCTGGTTTCAGTGGTAAAAACTACACCTCTGGTTTGCTGAGTCGGTGGTAGGCAGGTGCTCTTATGTGGTCAGCTCTTTCTTTCCTATCCAATATGATATACTGTCATCCTCATTTGATCTCCCTTTTTTTGTGTGTTTATTACTCTCTTGTAACACCTTGCTAATCTTCGGCACATAAATATGACCTATTGTCATGTTGCAAGTGCTGTAAAACTCTTATATGGGGTGCCCATTGGGGGATCGGGTCTGGTCGGGGCGGTTTGCTAGCCAGATATATATTGAGGGTGCAAAGCGGCTATAATCATGGCAAGCCGATCTCGCTGACTCAAAAACAAACGTGTTTGTTTTCTGGTGATGAGTGGGGCGATCACCCCCGGACCCGACCCGATCCCATCCGCAACGGGCACCTCATATTACTAAAACTAAACTAAACCATCCTTGCTAATGCATATGTGTCAGTCTTATAATCCATTATGGCAGTGCTTGCATATATATCTCACTACTGTTTGACTGATGTATTAAAAACAGAAACTATAAGATGGAACATCATCTTTTGTTTCCACTCTTAGACTCACCCATCGATGAAATAAGCACAATTAACCTCTCCTGTGTACATTTAACAATGATATTTAAGGGATTTTTTCTCTGCTGGCTGTTTGCTCAGGGAGACAGGCTTTGGTCAAATTAATTTCACATTTCTACATATAGCTTCCAAGGAAAGTTCCTTGGCTGGAGTGCTATTCGAGCACTTTCAGTTTCACAGTACTGTTGTGGACACAAGTAATGAGATTTACTCGGGGCGCGGGTTCTCGTGCGGAGAAACGCGGGGATCTCGTTCTGTGAGGGGATCCCGCTTAGGATAGTTCACGAGAAGTGTATATATATAATCGGTCTATCGCGGCCTTCAGTGGGACAATCGGACGAGAGAGAGTAGGGGACAGAGCCTTGGTCTACTCACTTCGGGAAATATACGATGCACTACACTTATTGAAATTAAAATACTCATCATCCACGGTAAGAATTTTCTCTTATCATTTTATAGTGTCGTTTTAACTTGTGGTGTAGTGCTGTGTTCCGCAACAAGTACATAGGCACTTGTGAGATTTCACACCATTCTGCAACACTTAACACTTACTGCTGGCTTGGATATACCGGAAACATCTACTTTAATGGTGTAAAGAGTAGAGCTGACAGGGAACATGCTAAACTTGGGGAGTTTTTTTTGTTTCAAATCAGAGCAGGCAAGGTGTTTTCCGTTTCAAACGGAGTTAAAAGTTGAGACGTCTTCTGAAAGAGCGGGTAGATCAGAGAAGGGAATAATATATGTCCTGACTTGTTGAATTTGTTTCCTAAGGCTCATTATCACCTTTCCAAAGGTACATGGTATCAGAAGCCGACTACGCTAAAACTCTCATTTGAAATCATATTTCTGCATCAATTAAGTGACACAACGTGGCGGAATCAGGCGCTTGTAAATTTTTGGGCATATATAGAGTTATTAATTTAATATCATCTTGAAATTTGTTCATTTGTGTTGCATTTTTGCGGAAAAAAATTCCCATATATATATATATATATATATATATATTTATAACATGGATAGCTCGAATTTGTCGGGACCGACATCAGTAGTTCAAGGGATCCGTAGTTCGAGGGATATAATGAGCTTAAAAAGATCAAGAAAACACCCCCCCCGGGAACCGCAGGCGCAGTTCGACGGAAGCATGATTTCGAGTCTTCTGTGGTGACCTATCCGTGTAACCGTATTCTATCTTGAGCTTGAATAGAAGTTGTGCTATACGATTAAAGATGGTGGTTAAGTCACCTGAGATTGAGATGAGAGATGAAATTAGCAAGAAAATGGCCACCAAAGTCTGGTGACTTGGGAAGCTTCAGCGTCCTTAGAAACTGGACATTTACATGTTATGTGCCTGTAATTAACATTTTTTCAGTAACATCCACACAGAAATGCATTTAAAGAATATATAAAAGGTGTTGGGACTGCAAAAGAAAATTAATTTTTTTAAATTTCCCAACGCACAGAAAAATGCTGGTTTCTTTGATTTCATTGTTTTGACGAGCGCCTGATTTCACCACGCTCCCTCTCATAACCCGCCCCCTATACTTCATAATGTAGTAACTTAGTATCGAGTGTCTTTGCTAATCTGTGGTCATGAATCCTCAAGTGGTTGGATTGGATAAGATTGTGGTGTCATGTTACAATCTTCAAGTTCTGCACGTTTTGTTCACATTTGCTGGATTTGGGTTATTGGATAAGGGTGAGGGTAAACCATAAAAGGAAGTTATAGTTGGTTCGTTTTGAAATGACTGTCAGTTTCTCTTTGTCCTCTTCAGATTGAAGTTTGTGCCTTAATTGGCAGGGGATGCTTCCTCAATCAACTCCACCGCCAACTTCAAAGAGAAGTCACAAAGTTTTCTGTGGCGAAAATGTCCACAGCCCAGTTGTTTACTGGGGAAAAGCAGACAGATCTGTATGCCAAGTTCAGGCCAGTGTACAGCGATGAAGTGTTCGAGACAATAAAAGAGTTTTGTGCAGAAACTTCCAGCAGTTTTGACACAGCTGTCGACTTAGGATGTGGATCAGGACAGAGCACCCTACCTCTAACTAAGTATTTCAGGAAGGTAAGAAGTAAGAAAAGGACTGATATAATATCGTCACTGTGCTAACAAAATGGTATAACTCAGAGTTGTGACAAAATGCAATTAGTCTTATTATATTTGTTTTATGGTACTATTCCGTACTAGATCTTTTGACCCAACCAGAACAGAAATACGCTGGCTGTCATTAAAAAAACCATGCATGGCAAGTTTTACCTTTATATATGATAAATAGATTAGTTAAACAGTTTTTTTTCATTTATCTCAAAAGTAGCAAAAATGAGATGTACCATTTTGCTAGCGCAATAATGACATAGATCTAATAGTATTGACAATAATAATAATGTACAAGTGATAACAATGATAACTTAATAGCAGTGGTGTTTAAAATAACAATAATGATGATAACAACAAAATGCAGTGAAATTTGGATACAAAGAACTTGGACTCAACAAAATAAGGATTCACCAGGGTTTTTTTATTTTTAAAAACCCATAAAATCAGACTTAAACCGAACAAACATCCCATGGTGATGTGACTTTTGAACATTTTTCTCCAACAAGGAACCGTGTCTATTATTCCAAGAGACCATTTTTCGCCATGCACTGTGGATTCTTGCACATTTATTGGGTATCATACAGTATAATACAAGAACTTCCCCCAACACATTCTTTGTGTGACTATATGAGACTGTGGATCATCACATGTTCCACTGCACAGCCCACTTAATGACATCAGAGATACACTTCTCCCTCCGAGACCTAACATTGACAACACACTCTATGAAACATTACAGCAACACAGCAACTGCAGCAAACCTACACTTATCACTACATGACATTGGACAGAAGGGCGAGAGCTCAGCTGTTGTTGGATCGATAACAACAACAATGGTGGATATAATACACTGTAGGCCTACACTACGACTGACCGAAATCAGAGATACATCGCCGTCTTATGCGACCAATTGGAGGCCTTTTGCCACATCCAGCACATGTGCTGAGGACACTCTTGCAAGATATTTGTCTGGCCCTTTGCTGGTCCGGGAGAGTTTGGGTGGGTGGCCAGCACACTTACTTCATGTATATGTGTGGTAGACAGCATATTTTGTGGTGAATACCGCACTGTTCTAAGCTCCCTGTCAACTTTTTTGAAAGACAAAGATATGATAAGGGCAGTTGGGGACCAAGAAATGTATAAACTGGAGAGACAATGAACGTGACGTGTGCTTTCAGGTTTTTACAAAGAACTTTTTGTTCTGGTGAGATTAACTAATCGTCAACATGAAAAAGCAAAAAGTATAAATTTATTAATGTTGCTCAAGCCTGACCCTGTTATTCAGGGGCTGTGCCAAGGGAAGCAACCACTCATGAAAGCAAGTTTTTTTGGGCTTCATAGATTCTTTCCCTTTGTACTCGCACTCTTTGACTCGCACTGTACTAATACTCTCAGAACAGATGCCCCTTATGCTATCAGTAAAAAATGCTCTCACTAGCCACAAGTGTTCTTATAACTTACTCTCAATTCTACAAATTTGATAGTCAAGCATGACAACTTTGTTATAGTTCTACATGCAAGTTTCACTGTAATAATAGAATAGTGGAGCCTACGAGTGCACTACGTCGAGCATGGCAATGGAGGTCAAGGCAATAACAGAGGCACTGGAATGGATCAACGTGGAAGTGTATAAACATGCCCTGTTTGTCACAGACTCGATGAGCACCCAATAAAAAATCAGGAGTGGGTGGCTCTACAGTGACTGGAGAGCTTCCATTGCAAATAGCCACCTCCTAAGAATTACATGGGTGTTCTGCCTTGGTCACGCCGGGGTGCACGGAAATGAGCGTGCTGATGAACTTGCCGGCAAAGCATCACCCAATGGCCGAATCATGCTCGACTCACCAATGGTGATCGCCAGATGCAAGGAGAGCCTTCACAACCAAGAGGAGACAGACTCCCACACACTCAGCACAATAAAAGAAAAGTGTGTGCGGGGCACAGCGAAAAAAAGTTTGCTCCAAGGAGTGGTCAGGCGTGTCTCAAACCAACTCCTCATGGAGACAATTAGCAGGAAGACCCTGAGGTGGATGCTGGAAAGGAGAGATGAGCAGCCATGGACATGTGCCGCCTGCTATGATTCTAGCTCTGGATCCAAGTAAATCCAAGTAAAATAGAATAATGATTCTAATAATAGTTTGCATTCATATCTAACAACACAGTTTTTCTTGGAGAGTTCTCAATTCGTTTTACGATTACAAATGTACTGAAATTTCCAAAGCTTGAGAGTCCTCAGAAACTGAAAAACATTGTTCCTTTTTAATCATTTTTCAGTAAAAATCCACCCAGACAGAAATGTATATGTTTTTAAATAGACATAAAAGTTTTGAGCCAAACAACAAAACAAAATTTGAAAAAAAAAAGGTCAAACTGGCAGAAAAATGCAGATATCTTCGATTTTGTTATCTTTCCAAGCATCTGATTTCACCACAATGCACCTCACATGTGCGTGCATGCGTGCATATATGTGTGTGTACGTGCGTGCCACCAGTATAAGTATGAGACAATCACCTACAGAAATGGCCACTTCCCATTCACTCCCTTACATTTTATTTATATTATAATGTCACTGTGTAAGAGGGCCATTTATCGAGTATGTCCACTTAGCTCTTTGTCATTGGATGATCACCTTGGACAGTTTCAACAGTATATCATTGTGTCCTTATATTAGGTGGTAGGCATGGATGTGAGTGAGCAGCAGATTGCGAGAGCCCCGACCGATGTGAGCAACTTGTCTTTCCGTGTGTCTCGAGCCGAAGATTTGAGTGCTTATGAGAACGGCTCTCTTGATCTGGTGACCATAGCCCAAGCTTTCCACTGGGTAGACCAGTCAAAGTAAGTCATAATTTACTTTATTGTCTGTACTTTTAAGCCATTATAATTTATTAATATATCTTGTAGGCCTACTTGTATAGCGCATTGAGCATTTTAACCTATCGGAATGCGCTATGCCATGTATTATTATCATTATATAATAAGCCTAGCCAGCTACAATTTTGTCAGAATCAAAGAAATGAGTTGTGTTTTGAGTTTCTAAGTCGTGTTAATGGCTTTTCTTTTCAATGAACTTGCATTTTTTGCTTATAATAAATTGTGAACTTAATAAAACAGTAACACTTGGTAAAAGTAAGGTATGTGTACATATATAACACTTCTTGTCATCGATTATTACAGTGTCAAAGGGTGCCAAACTCTCATGGTTTCCGCCTTTGTTTATTTTTAGTTGAAATTTATTGCAAGGGCAGTGCTGATGCTTTGCCTGTTTTTCACTGTGTGATAGGAACAGATGCTGGAGTGAAAAGAAAATCTCGTAGTAAGTGACCGACCTGTTCTGACGGTGCTCACATGAATGCCTAGACTCCTAGATGTTATGCCGTAAGCATGCTCACATGCCGTGCGTAGATGTTTGCTGCCAGCTCGTCCAGGCCTCCTCCATGTGTGTGTGTGTATGTGTGTGTGTGTGTGTATGGGTGTGCACATGTGCCTGCATATATATTCGTGTCTGTGCATGATTGTGTGTATGTGTGTGTGTATCTGTGTGTGTGCGTACGTATGTGGTGAAACACCAAACCAATGTGCCAGGATCTGAACAATAAAGATGTATCTTATCTTATCTTATCCCTCTCTCAAACACTATTAAATATGGCTGAGTGTAACAGTTAAAGTTACAGCATCACATCTCTCCTCCTGGCTCATGTGCATGGGCCCAACGCTACCATGTTAGATTTTATGCTTTCAACACCTTCCTACATTCTGTCATGTCAGTTGCATTTCTTATTGGAGCAAAAGTTTAAAAGTGTAAGCCTTTTTAAGAATACCGGTACTTTCAGAGTCTTTGAGATCCTGTAAATTAAAATTTAGTCATAGTAACTACTGAAATTCCAACTCCACCTTTTTTGTATTGGTGCAGTTACTGTTTAAAAAAAAAAAATTTTTTTAAGGGAGGTTAGGAATTCTTATCAATAAGCTGTCATGTTTTCTACGTTAATGTGTTATAAATATATTGTGGGAATATTGTGACACCTGAATAGACATAAGGGTCTTGAACATCTAGCTCTCACTGGCAAAACTGAGGACAAGCGAGGCAGGGGTAGGCCCACAACAACATACTTAGGGAACCTGAACAAATGGGTAACAGGGAAAGATTAGGGAAACGTAGCTTTTTTGAGAGCATCCGAGCAAAGGAATGAATGGAAAACCATGATCGCCGATGTCTGTCGCAGATCTGGCACTGGATGATAATGATGATTGTGACAGTCTGTTCTGTTTACTACACAGGTTTTTTAAAGAAGTGGAACGAACTGTGAAACCCGGCGGATCGTTGGTTGTGTACGGCTACGGGTTGTGGGAACTCTCCCACCAGAAAGTCTTTCAATATTTTTACCATGTAAGTTGGCTTTTTTTTTCTTTTTTTTTTTGCAAAACGTGAGTCAGTTTGAATTCTGAAGTGGAAATTTTTTATTTTTCTGATGAATGCTGCGACTACTATTTCTTCTTTTTGCTCATTGTTGGTTTAATTTGTGCTAATTTGCTATTTTGCTGATGCTCAGAACAAAGTCAGAATAAATTTTATAGAGAAAAACTCTCGGTGGTTTATACTGTCACTCTGTGGTGAATAAAGGGGGTGGGTGGGGAGGGGGGGGGGCTAATATTTGCTATGTTATTTAAAGTTTTTTAAGAAGACATTGAAAAGTGTAACCATTCTAGCATGTACTGAAATGCAGTATAACACGGATAGTTCCAATTCGTCGGGACTGGCCTCGGTAATTCGAGGGATTCGTAGTTCGAGGGATGTCTTACAAAGATAAAGAAAAACCAAAAAAACCTGGGACCGCAGGTACAGTTCGACGAATGCGTGATTCTTCTGTGTTCGACTATCAGGAGGTCAGGACTCAAAGGGTTAAGAACAGGACAATAATGAATGTTTTGAGTCTTATTTGAAACTGCATGCAGAACTGATATCACAATGTGACTCTAGTCTTGATGGTGATCTTTTCTTGTCTTCTTTTACTTGTGGCCTCTAAGATCTATGGAGAGGTTCTAGGTCCGTACTGGGTAGGAGGGCGCAAAATGGTGGAGGAGAAGTACCGGACAGTCTCATTACCCTACCCTGGGTGGAGAAGGTGAGTACCTACAGGGTGGCTGGCGGGTGTTTTAACTCCTTAGCTTCGGCAAGCTGCTCCCATTGGCTTGCGGTTGGAACCACTGTGCTGGTGAGTCGCTGGCAGCAGCTGTTTCACATTCCTTTACGATGACTGGCATCAAATTACTTTTTGGCAATTGCCAAAAACAGGTCTCTTTACGGGGAATTCATTCATTAGATGAAGAACTATCAAAATAGGTTCACTTATTTTGACTTAGTAACCAATTAAGTGTCATATACGTCACTTTTCGTACCAAAAGAGTGCCCCGCCATTGTGGGTTCACCCCGCTTGGGGATAAAGAGTTAAAGTATGATTTACTCTATGAACATATTTTTCATCTTTACTGAATATAATCTGCTTCTTGGCACTCCCCCCCCCCCCCCTTTTTTTTTAACCTCTGTGCTATTCTTATATATATATATAATATGAAATTTGTATCTTGCCATCATGGTGAAAAGATTGTCATTTCTGTTTAAACTGTTTTTAAATTAATAAGATGAATATTTGGAGTGGTTTTCTTTTAGTCAGAACACGTTTTATGTTACTGTTGTACATTGTATTGTACTATAAAGCGCTCAGAGCCTGTGTACTTTATAATCGGGGTTGAGCACTACACAAATGTCATTTATTATTACTAATATTAAGATAGTCATAAATCTGTGTGTTTAACAGAACTTTTCTTATTTTCTTTAGTTAACTTTTTGTGCTGTGTGTGTGAATCTCCCAGGGATGACAGTCTCTCCCTTGTCAAGGAAGTTGGTCTAGAAGATCTGATTGGCTACATGGGTTCGTGGTCAGCGTACCACAAGTACAACATGGCTCATCCTGGGAACAACCTCGTAGGAGAGGTCAGGGCAAGGTAGGTACTTGTACTTGATGTGCAGTGAGAGTGAGACAATGTTGAACACTGTGAAGTCCAATTTTTCATTCTTTCCTCCTCCATTTTTCTACGTCACAATCCATTTTGGTGCAAATTTTATAAAGGAAGGAGGAGGGGAATGGGGTTCAAGCTAAAGGAGGAAAAACCTGTTGCAGCTCAGAAGTGAGACGGATTTCAGAGAAGCATTATTGTTGTCATTACATCCTTTTAGGACACACTGTATGGTTCTGCGGAAGCCGAGAATGTGTCTGAGTGTTCTCAGAGGGTCTGCTGGGGTGATAATAGTTGTAAAGCGCATAGAGCATGCTCTTGAGCATGGATATGCGCAATTTAAATGCAATTATTATTATTATGTAAAAGTCACTTTAATCGGTTCAGATAATATTTTTGGAATGGAAATCGTTTCACATGTGTAAATGTTTTTAAATGTTCTCTGTTGAACTTGTTTCACTGAGAAAAAAAAATAGTACTAAGACGACTCTGATTTATTCAAACTTGCGACCATTTCTTTTTTTCAAAGATCAATTTTGTAATTTGGACTTGTGTTTTGCATACTTTTGCTTGTAATGAAATTTTCGCGGTTCTGTGTCTTTTTCAACCAAGGATGCAAGAATTGGCTGGAGTTAGTGAAAACGAGGCATCTGAATTCAAGACAAGAATTTCCTGGCCAGTGTTTATGCTGATGGCTCATTTACCATCGTAGGTGCTCGGTCTTTTGTTGTCACACTGTTTATGAAGTAACAGTAACTCGCTTCATTTGAGGTGAGACCTACATTTGAAGTATTTTATCAATAAAATGGAATAAATTTGTCAAAAATAAAACGAAGTGTTGGAAAGAGCTGGGATAGAAGATATCAATAGAACCACACTCTGGAGAAAATGAAGATATTTGGGACTTGTTTTGAGAATGTCAGAGATAAGATTGCTCAGTAATCGTTGCTTCTAGGTACTTACTTAAACTTGCGTACTTGTTATATTTTACTCTTTTAATGCATTCATATCTTATCTTCAAAAGAAGACTGCTTGCATCTCTTAGTTCATAAAAGAAGAACTGTTTATGAAGTAACAGTAACTCGCTTCATTTGAGGTGAGACCTACATTTGAAGTATTTTATCAATAAAATGGAATAAATTTGTCACAAATAAAACGAAGTGTTGAAAAGAGCTGGGATAGAAGATATCAATAGAACCACACTCTGGAGAAAATGAATATATTTGGGACTTGTTTTGAGAATGTCAGAGATAAGATTGCTCAGTAATCGTTGCTTCTAGGTACTTACTTGAACTTGCGTACTTGTTATATTTTACTCTTTTAATGCATTCATATCTTATCTTCAAAAGAAGACTGCTTGCATCTCTTAGTTCATAAAAGAAGAACTGTTTATGAAGTAACAGTAACTCGCTTCATTTGAGGTGAGACCTACTTTTGAAGTAATTTATCTATAAAATGGAACAAATTTGTCTCAAATAGTGAAGTGTTGGAAAGAGCTGGGAGAGAAGATATGAATAGGAGGACCACACACTGGAGAAAATGAAGATATTTGGGACTTGTTCTGAGAATGTCAGAGATAAGATTGCTCAGTAATCGTTACTTCGAGGTAGGCCTACTTACTTAAACTTGCGTACTTGTTATATTTTACTCTTAATGCATTCTTATCTTCCTTCAAAAGAAGACTGCTTGCATCTCTTAGTTCATAAAAGAAGAACTGTGTGCCATATTAAAACAGGATGTTAATATTATTCAAAAACTGGTGATTGATTGATTATTTGCATTTATGTAGTTTGGTCATGAAAGAAACCTGTGTTCTTCTTCTATATATTGCCCAAGTCATGTAGAATTTCATATCTTTGCAAGCCAAGAATAATTCAAGAAGGCTACTGGCAAAACAAAGTGGCATTTACATTTTGTATACTGGTGCTATCCTGGTTTCCTATTTCTGTATTTCATTAATGTATATTAAGCAGTTTATTTACCGTGATACTGTTATGTAGAGTTTGATGCAAGAAATTAGTAATTGGGCTTAAATATTACCCATGCGATGTGAAATTTCTTATCATGTAAACGAAGGATAATTGATCAACTGACCAAAGACAATATATTTGTGTTTTGTCAACTACCCTTGTTTCTTGTTCGTGTATTTCATGTATATTTGCACAGGTGTGAAGTGTTACTGTATGTGACCTTTTCCATTCAATTTTCCCGACATACAAGGCTTCTACTCAAAACAAAAAAGAGGCAAATGCTGGCAGCAGCATTCATGTTGTTTTTTTTGGATAGTGTAAAGAAAACTTGCCTTCAAGATACAGAAAAAACAGACCGTGTTAGGCAGCATGTTTTTGTGGAATGATCGATGGTGTAACTGTAACAAAACTTGACCATAACTCAAAAGTTAGGAGTCTGAACCTGAATAGGCTCTGAATTTCTCTGTTTTCCTTGGAATATATATGCCTTCTCTACAACTCTGCTGTCATGTTTTAAAGTACAGGAAAACCACAAAAACAGAACGTTGTCACCAAAAAAACAACATTTGCTTTAAAGATAATAAGGGAGCTATTATCAAAATTGCTCTCTTGAAAATAATGACTTTGATTGTTTGCAGACAGCTTGTTTTCTTGGTAGCAACGTTCAGTTTTTTGCTTTCCGGTACAACTGCAAAAACTGCATTTACTGTATTTTAAATATAAATGATGGTAGATTCTGTGCCATAGGTCAAAGAGCTCCCCCCCTTGAAATTACGGTGTATATCTTGGGGTATGGGACACAACTCGTTACAATACCTATCAATCAGGGCTTCAAAGTCGCCCGCAGTCCTATCCATAGAATTTGAAATTAGACCCAAAAGACCCCATGTTTAAGCGGATTTCACTGTATGTTTTAGACTGTATTGTCCAAGGGATAGGATGAGATTGATTGTTTGTTTGAGTAAAGAGAAGCACATCGACACAATTATGGCCATTTAGTGCTGGGAAAAAGTAAGATAGACAGACAAAAACAACAGAGGGAAAGTAAAAAAGTAGAACCTACCAGTGACACCCTCCAACCACCTGCCAGAGAATGAGTGGAGCTGAATTTCTTACTCATCTAACACAAAAATGGACCAAAGCTTGTGAAAACCCAGCAATTAATAGTGAAAGATCTTGTCAGTATGTTAGTGTTTTAGTGCCTAAATGGCCGCTTACACTACTGTACGATGCTTCCCAGGAAGTTGAGGTTGTTTCAGAATGCTCTCAGGTCTGCTGGGGTAAAGTATAGATTGTGAAGCGCATACAGCTTGCTGTTGAGCAGGGATTTGCACTATACAAATGCCGTCTATTATTATTATTTTTTAAACAAAAGTTAAAAATTTTCAGGAAGGACTCCTACCTAGGACGTCCGTATTCTGAGGTGGGTGCCTGTTCACTTACATTGGTGTGTTACCCCTGGTTCACTAAAAACATATTTGTTGGCTCAAAAGAAGAGAACAAAACCCCCAAACTATTGACAATATGAACAAATATCACAGGAGAGTAAACAAGATAAAAATTTATTGAGATTATTTTCATGAGGAAAGCATCCTAATTTTTATGAAATAAATTTACAATGATTTTAGCATGGAATAATGGGAATATGTACATGAAGAAATATGACCATGGTAAATCTTTACATAACAACAGATATCTGCCAAATAATATTATCATATATATATAGGCCTATAGCTGTGTTATCTGACTTATCTGTAGCTGGCAGGGCACTTCTTTACAACAGATATCTGTGACAAACACATACAATGCATATATATATTTATGAATACACTGCTCTAGTATCTGCAGGTGGCAGGGCACTTCTTGACAACAGATATCTGTCACAAACACATACATGAAAATAAATTCATGTGTACATTTCTCTCCTACCTACAGGTAGCAGGGCACTCCTTTTAAGAGATATCTGCCGCAAACACATACATGAATATAAATTATTTATGTATACATTGCTCTAGTATCTACAGGTGGCGGGGCTCTCCTCTCTCTCAGCTTGCTGCTTTGGTCATGGCGCACTCCTGAAAGCAAAGCAAAGAAACCAAATGAAGTGTCTGAATTCTACAGTAGACTAAAGATGAGTCGATGTTGTCGCGGGAGTGAAATAGTTTATAAAGATCGACTCATCCGAAGTTCGACTTAACCTTTGGGACCTGTAAATTAAAGAAAAAGAGGTGCTAGGACCTGAGAAAAAGATTAAATTAACCGAAGATCAACTCAAGCTAGTTCAGCACAAGTGGGCTTGACTGTTCAGAACAGAAAAATTCAGAGAGTGAAGGAAGAAATGAAAATATTCATCACAAATAATACCATAACAACGCTGTCATACAAAAACAATAGCTTAAATGGCTGACATTTATTTTTACATGCACTTCATTGCGTTAGTGGGAGGATGGGTGAACGGATAGACTTGTGTTATGTTTGGGGGTGTATAGGCCTTCATCGCGTGTGTGTATGTATGTGATAGCCTATCATGTGTTGCAAGAAATCTATGTGTGTATGTGAATGTGTGCCTACATGTGTGTGCTGGGCATGTGTGTGTGTGCATACATGATGTGTGTGTGTGTGCATACATGTGTGAGTGAGTGTGTGTGTGCGAGTGAGTGAGTGAGTGAGAGAGAGACTGAGAGAGAGAGAGAGAAAGTGAAACAAAGAAAAAAAAGAGAAAGAGAGACAGAGAGAGAGAGAGAGAATGTGTATTTCATCTCTTTAAGATCGATCTATATGCAAGCAGAAAAAAAGCATCATGCCTCCACTGGCACTACAAACAAGAAAACAACAAAAGGTCGTCCGTTGCCTTGAAAACAACATAACGTCGGTACTACAAGCAATCGACTTTAGTCTATTTGGGCACCTTTTTACACCAGAGACAGAAAAAAACTAACAACTTGTTTTTGTCGTGTTGGTATATAAGGAATTAGGAAGAAAAGCAAGGAAATTGTAAGCCTTGAGCATAGCATTAAATTCAGACTGCATTTTGATGATTTTGAAAAGTGCACCTTTGATAAAGCTTTGATAGATAGGGTGAAAAAAACAGAAAATTTTCAAAATTTTGACTTAAGTGGATTGCTTGTGACGGCGATGATAAAGTCATCTATTGTCCAAGTAGTAGGTTTTGGAGAAATATTTGAAAAACGAATGACGGTAACTGTTGCTCCCTGAAGAAAACTCAAGAATTGATAAACAGCAAAAAAATAAGGTCAGTTAGGTTTTTTTTTTTTTAAGTAAGCATTTTACAGCACTTGCAACACAATCAGGCCATATAAGTACTGAAGATTAGAGGTGTCACAAGAGAGTGACAAACACGAAAAAGAAGGAGGAGATATGAGGACGATAGATGTTTGATAGGAAAGAAGGAGCAGGATACGCCAGAGCACCTACTAACCACCAACAAGGTCAGTTTAGAAGTGTTACTGAGACTGATTAGTCTATGGTTTGTCGTTCAAAGATTGAACAAAAATTGTACCGGAGCATTCAGCTCATTCGAAGACAAGCAACTAAATAAAGATTATAGTATTTGTTTTACTCACTGATTTACTAAATAAAATCAATCATTTAAAAAAAACCCAGATGCTTCCAACTTCAAGATAACTGAAGAAAAAAATCCTAATTTTCTCAACAGGAAACAACCTGTAATTTTTGCAGTCTATAAGAATGAAATTCCTCTAATCAAATGTTAATTCCCAGGAATCAATATGACTTAAGTAATTCAGACGTTACACATAACATTTTTTAATTTGAGGGAAATGTAAACAAACATACCAGAGAATGATCTCATCAAAAAAAGAAAGATAAATGGGAAAGAGTTTGCTTTAGTAGAGGTTTTACGGCGCTCGCAACTGCATAAGGTCATATGAGTGCCAGAAGATTAGAGGTGTTACAAAGGGAGTAACAAACATAAAAAATAAGGAGGCGAGATAAGGACGATAGATGTTTGATAGAAAAGAAGGAGCAAACCACACCAGAGTACCCGCCAACCACCCACGGAAAGGGTTAGGAGAAGGACCCAAAGTTCTTAGTTTTCAGCATACCACAGATGTAGGCCTACATGGATTATGTAGATCTATGGGTTTCTTAAAGAAGACTTAATGATGAAGTTTGCACCAAAAGAAGCACATTATTAACCCCTTCCCTGCCAAACCTGTTTTAAAATCTTACCAAAATGTCAATAAAATCTCGGACAAAGCAGTGAAGGGTTAACTCAGTTATTAATGGATGGTTAAATCAACAATGTATATTTATCCAATTCAAGTAACATTGTTTACACAATCCAACCAATTATATTAGACCTACCCTGAACCCAACACAGGAACCCCCCCCCAACACACACACACACACATCCCCAACTTTCGTCACTGATACCATTGTATCATCTTATGATACAGTTGCATCTATTAACACTAGTGTTATTAGTGTTAGTCCCTCATGATATGATACGGTATCTAGTACCACCTGTGTTTTTTGTGTCAATCCCTCATATGATTATGATACAGTATCTAAAACGGGCATTATATGTAGCAATCCCTCACGATAAGATGACACAGTATCTAACATGGACATTATTTGTAACAATCCCTTATGATACGATACAGTATCTAACACGGGCATTATTTGTAGCAACCCCTCATAAGATGATACAGTATCTAACATGGACATTATTTGTAACAATCCCTTATGATACGATACAGTATCTAACATTGACATGGGGCTTAAATATTACTCCTGCCTCTGGTAAAAGAATACTGTGGCTTGCTTCTACATAAAACTGGCATTATAAGTGGCAATTTGAGTTTGGGTGAAGAGAAGCACACTGACTTGACAAGCATGGAAAACGTAAGACAGATAGATAGACAGACAGTAACAACACAAGGAATGAAAAGAAAAAAGAATGTCCAATGGCCCCCCTGTGGCACTATGAAAAAAAAAAGCTGGCAAATATTCCATTAAAAAATAAAACTACAATAAAAAGCAAATAGGTCTAGTTCTATTCTATGTATTTTGTCAACTTCAAAGATACTCGAAGTGTCTTGACTACTCCAACCTTCACTTGACAAAAGAAAAAAATCCAGACAAATATTGCTAAAAAAATCCAGATAGGTTCCCTCTCATTTCAGTCCAAGTTCAATCAGGGTCTTAAGTTATAATTAACAACTGGTATTTGTATACGGAGGAAAGAGGAAGACTACATCAACCGAGGCATGCAGACTCGGCATTACATAAACAAAAGCACACACACACACAGGTTTCACACCAAGTAGGTAATTCTTGAAAGAGCTGCAGACTGCATGAATGAAATGTTAAAAGAAGAACTGACAAACATTAGTTATGTACCAATCTCACTGAGATGGGAGTCCTGAGGAAAATATGAACCTTAAGTTTTGAAGAAACAATTGAAAAAAGACAGAATAACAATGAAATGAAGAAACAATTGAGATAAGAGAAAGACTTACAACGAAGAATCTAACATTACTAACAAGAAGAAATTTATAATCAGTTGGCAATCAGGAGGCACACTGAAAGTAGTCAAGTTGTTAGAGTTCAAAGTAAGGAAAGCCACAGAAAACAGGCAACATCACTCACAGTTTGTCGGACTCAACACAGAAAGCATGTTCTAAATATATATATCTTCTACTACTTTGTTAGCACACCCGAGTAGTATACCAAGTTGGCAACATGATATTTATTACCAGCCGGTACTACTGGCCTGTCGTACCTATTTGATCAGACGGCTGACCTGAAATGATGAAATTTGTGATTGAAAAGTACAGTGTGAGTAACGCGTTTTGGTGGGTACCTGTTGCACCTGCTCAAACCATCACCTCGCGACCTCAGCGCTTTCTTGTCGCATCTCCATTTTTGTTACCAGTGAAAGAGTGACTTCTTCTTCAGCTCACTTTGTTTGAACTGTTTTCACTGTTATTAAAAATGGAGATACGACAAGAAAGCACTGAGGTCATAACCTGTCTAAGACAATCACGTGCACAACGACCTATTTCCAACCTACCCCCCCCCCTGCATTTTTTTTTCTATAAAAACGTTCATCCACTTGTCTAAGACAACATCTTTTCTTCTCTTTAACCCTATCCCCACACCCTGTGGTCATTTTGTACCCCCAGGGTTGTATTCTTCACATTTAAGAATACTTCTAACGAATATCTCTTTGAAACTTTCAGTATTTCTCAAAAAATCATTTTGACAGACTGATACTGCTATGCCAAGCGTACAGATCGGATTAACGAGTAAATTTCTTCTTTGGAAAGTGCTGGCACAGACTTCCCAATGTCGTATGGATACACGATAGTAAAACACGACGTACGGAGGGTTAATAGGAGGCTGCCTAGGACAACTTCAGCAGTACACACAACAAACTGTAGCCAACTGCCAGTCCCTCCTACCATCCTAACCCTAAACCACAATCTCAGAACATACATGATCTCAAAGAGATGTCCACCTATTGCCGTCCTCTACTATCCCTGTTTTCACCATCTCATCATCATGAACTTCACCTGAGACAAAGCATGCAAACAAACAACAGCCCCTTCTTCCACAACGAAAGTTCAACAAAAAAAATATAACATTTCAAACAATAGGGCCAAAGAAACTGTTTGAATAACAACCCCCCCCCAAAAAACAAAAAAACAAAAACAAAACAAAACAAAACAAAACAGAAATAATAATAAGAAAGTAGAAAGAAAAGAATCCCAGGCAAAAAACAAAAAAGACAGAAAAGAAAAAGTTAAACTTTCAAAACCACCACGGCTGAGCAAATGAGCCCAGTATGTGTTTTATAAATTCTGCAAGCAGGAGAAATATGAATGTCAACAGCTACTAGTGAGCTACACAATTCCTACTTTGTTTTACAAGTAAAATGAGAAATTCAGCATAAAAATAGAAACATTGAGCTAATGGAGTTAATATCCACTGGAGTAGGCTAAGTCAGTTAGGAATAAGACTTCAAACTGAGTCATAGATTCACTGGCTGGAAAACTAAAAAAATGCATGCTGATACACAGCAGTGGAATATAATATAAAGCTACCATGGCCATGTGAGCATTCACCACTCGTACTTACACTTACTTTGTGAAACTGAGAAATTGTAAAGACTAAGTTTAATGCCTCTTGCAACATTTAAGGTTGTTTATGAGGCAGGACCTCTAAATAAAAAAATCCATCTCAGATAGAACGGAGCCACAAGGTAGAATTTGTGTAAATAAGTGTCTTTCCCAAGGACACCATCGGACAAAGCTGATCCTCAAACCGACAATCTCACGATTAAGATTAAGAGTCTGATAGCCTTGTCATTACAGTATGGATGCCACTTACTTTGCAAAAGTGATCATTGAGATAATTCCGATGATAATCTCCAGGCCGATGAAAGCGATCTGTATGGCAGTGAGAATGACTTCTGCTCTCAAGACGTACGTCTGCCACAGCCAGAAAAACAAAACTCCAAATATCGTCGGGACGCTCAGCACCAAGAACACAATCACCCCCACAATCTGTTCCGTCAGGTTACCACGGCGACCTAGCAGAAGTACACAAAATCATTGGGAGGAACATGGGCAGAAACTGAAGCAGAGAACAAGAAAGATTGGAGTGATTTTCAACAATTGAAGCCTGCAGCATTGGTAAAGAATACGGTAGAATAGAGTGGTTTTCAACAACTAAAACCTGCCTTGCTACAAAGGGTTTAAAATACAGACATTGAAATTGATTACCTGTAGCAAAATTTCAGTGTGAGAACATAAAGAAGAGAGAGGTTAAACTTGTACAGCAGTCTAAGGTTATCATGTGACAGTGATAATTGCAGTTTTCGAAACAAATCAGGAAAACAATAGTCTAAATTTTTGTGCCCATAACAATGTGAGGTGAGATTGTAAAAAAACAACTGATAGACAGACAAATAGAAACACAAAATGGAGAAAGACATACAGACAGGAGGACAGACAAGCAGGTAAATAGACACACAGATCAGGAACATATATAGGTTATAGTTTATACGTTGGCATTGGCATCATCAAGCCATTCCAGGACAAACACAGAGAAAAGCTGATGGACACATGGGTTTTTATCCTTGCATGTTTGGTTAACATTTAAGCAGAAAAAACTTACCAAAGAACAACCGCAACCCTTCGATAATGGCCAACAAGAAGAGCAAAAGTATTTCCGCTGCTAAAACATTTGATGCGTATGGTAACGTTTCTCCTGTTTTAGAAGAAATAAAAATATGTAAATAAAATAATATTATAACATTAGCCTGCTTCAGACTATAATAATAGCTGTGATGAGTGTCTGCGTATCTGTGTGTGTGTGTGAGTGTTAGTATGAGTGTCTGTGTAAGGGTGTGTGTGTGTGTGTGTGTATGTGTGTGTGTGTGTACACATGTGTGCATACACGTATATGTGCATGTGTGTGTGTGTGCGCCGCTGTATGGGTGTGAATGAGCACATATGTGGAAGAATGTGAGACTGTGAGTGATTAATGTGTGTGAAGAAATGCACGCACGTGGCTGTGCGTGAATGTGTGGGTACATTATATGGAGCTTAAAAGTAGGTAGCGTAAACACGGCCTCGCGGGCACTCGCGGCCTTCCGACCGTGTGGTATCAGTAAAATCGGATTAATTCCGATCGCTGTTTCTTTGCTCTTTCGCTATAAAACACCAAATGCCGTACACCTTGTAAAAGTTCAGCTTTTCCTCGTTACAATGGTGTAAGTTGTTTATATGTCCGATTATTAGGAACTGGAGAATCGCCGACGAAAGCGAAGCCCCTCGCGGTCAGAATGCGAGGTCGGCCGGTTGAAAAATTGACACGCGTGCATTCAAATGCTTCGTGGAACGAGGGTTGACTAAATACCGTCTTTTCATTGGCGGAGAACTGTAGAGCTTTAAACGGGCTTTCCCGTGATATAAGTTTAGCCTTTGGCGTCTTTATAGAAAGCTTTTAAAAATACCGTCAAAATGTTTAAAGATCACTTTTTACACAAAATGTGTAAAATACCGGCTTATAAAAACTATTAATTAAAAGATCAGTTCATTTCCTATTAGAATAAAGTAATTAAATTGGAATTATTTTACATCAATCCTTCCGCGAGTCACAGAAAGCATGTGACCCCGCACGCGGGGTACACTACAGTATAGAGCCGACTCGCTCGCCGCGGGGGCCGGTGCGACGCCGGCCGGGTCAACGCTCGGTGTTTTTGTCGAAATAACGACAGACATTGTGTTTGAGGTGATAAAGTACTGATTTGTAAAGATCTCACAGTCTTGAAAAAAAATTATGCTCCATATATTTGTTATAGTGACTGTACTCTGTTAATGTTCAGATGTTTAGTGGACTTGTTACTTTTTTATTGTCTGTCAAACATGGGGTTGCAGCCAGTGACTGACTTTAACAAATTTGATCAAATTTTAAACAACTACAATTTTCTTAAAAATTGATGGAGATGTTAAAGAATGGTACCAAAATGCTCAGTGGATATAGGCCTTTCAAATGGAACAGATAAATTTGGCATACAGCTAGTTTGAAAATTTAGTTTCTGGTACCTATTAAAAGTGTACAACATTTTATGAAAGCATCGTTGTGCCACAAAAAAAATCTAACTAATATCAGTCGCAAACATCTCAACTTCCGTTCAAGTCTACATGATTATGGTATGTGTATGAAATTAAATGACAACATGGGATCTTACCTTTGAAAACAAACAGCAGAATCTCACAGACGAAGAAGAAGACAAAGTACCAGCCATTTAAATACAGGAGTATTTGAAATGGTAAGGATGATCGCTGATGCCAAGTTAAGAATTTCAACAATGTTGACAAATGCACAAAGTCATGATACATAAGAATTTGTTAACAGAGAAGAGTACTGATACTCCAAAGTCCCAATAATTTCAGCGGTATCTAGGAACTTACTTGTTGTCAATATATAATTTTTTTAAAACATTGTCCAATAAACTATTGATTAAGAAAATGAAGATCTGGTTAACAAATAAATTATCTCAACTGTACGCAATGAAATAAAAACTAATTTCAACTATGTCTAATAGAAGTAGGCGAATACCTGGTACAACATTAAGAACAATTTAAAATTAGGACACCACAAAGCAAACTTCATGATGTAGATACACACATGAATTCAACATAATGGACTCCATACTAACAAAATATGAATAACATGATGAGCATGTTCCTAGTAAGTTTATGCAATAGAAGCTTAGTTATTTGTGTAAACTGCTACACACATCAATCTCTGATTATAACACTTAATTTTCTTTCCAAGATGTGTTTAATCACACACACACAACCCAACACCCCTGATTTCGTTGCTCTCTGATATCGGCCAAGTCCTGTTGAGAACAATAAATGTTGGGGCTCATACAGTTACCTGTACCCAATAGTAGGCCAAATGCAGTGAGTGTAATACAAATGACAAGTGCTTATTTGGGCGAAAATAATTTAATAAACCAATCCTCACACGCAAAAAAAAACCCAACTATTTCAGCTACCTATTCCTAGTGACACAATAATCAGTACAATCTTGTTTCTGTGCTTACCAGGGTATCAATTATAGATTATCATAGATCTAATCTAGCTTCTTTTTTAGGGGCTACTATAAAAGAGAAAGAGGGGAAAGCAGAGAAGGAGATGGGAGGACAACATTACAGAGTGGACAGGAAAGACGATGGGCGACAATCTGAGGAGAGCAGAGGACAAAAATAGATGGCAAGAGCTGGTTTTCCAATGCAGTGGTGCCCCAACGGTTGCCCCAACCACGGGATAGAAGAAGAAGAAGAAGAAGATAAAACTTAAATAAGGTCACCCGGTGCACAATCAAAAAGCAGCAAGCTTGGTCTGACATTTGCCACCACAATCCTTGTCTGTTCAGGCCTCATTTTAAGCAGCATAGGCTGGTGGCATGAGCGTGTCAGTCTACAGATATAAAGGATACAACAACTTGAGATTTTCCTGAAAAGAAACAAAAAAAGTCATACATTATACACACACACATTATGAAGCATGATGAGTTAAATATCAAACAGTAAACAACAAATAAAAGGAAAGGATCACGAAGAAAATGTAGATAAATAAATGATTGCTAACAGGTACTCTGGAAGAAAAATTAAATTCCAACACATAGATCGTCAAGTAGAATTACAACCAATTCAAAAGGCTGTGTGTATGTAGTCTAGTGATTGGGCTATTGGACTCGTAATCATGAGGTTGCAGGTTTGGTCGTTGTGCCCTTGGAAAGGCAGCTCACAAAAAGTTTCCTTACTTTGTCCAGGAGTGAATGGGTACCCGGCCATAGACAGCGAAAGATCTTGTCAGTAAATGTAAGGAAGTCAGTATGATAGCTAAGTAGGCTACGCTGTGTCAAAACAAAGTCATGCATGCATACACTCAACTCTACACTAAATTAAACTACTGTACATGCTTATCACATAAGGCAATCAGGACAAAAACTGCTTACAAAGGAACCCAAATAGTACACTAAAGGTATTAAGAAATGACCCCCTGAAAATTAGACTTGAATCGACGATAATAAAAGAATTATACCCCGCCTGGGCGGTGCCTGTGTAGAAGTCTGTGCTTGTTCTGCCGCCATTTTGACGCTTTCGTTGTGAGGCAATGTAACATCAATGGACCATTGTACACTTGATTTAATTCAAACCTGTAAGTAGTTAGCTATAAAATATAACTTTCTGTTTTAATTATAGATATATGTATATATCTTAAAATTCAGATAGTATTAAGTGAATCTTGACAATGATTCGATTATAAAATGTAAAAGAAAGGATTTTTTTTTCGTGGTTGCTGCTTATTTGATCTTATACAACACTTCGTAATTATTCCTATTCAAAATTTTCCATCTCTTTATAACACATTAAATTATTATCAATATTATCTTCCCATCTCCTTCTAAGGGAACTGGCGGAATATAATAATTTTTTAAACAGATGTACTAAAGTTTAGCTCAGCTTTTTTTTTAATACATAAGTGTAATGTGGAACAACTTTATTCTTTCGACTATCGTGGCTGTGTGTTCGTGTGGGAAGGGGAGGGGAGGAGATTACACAGAGAATAGAATTAATATTTTTTGTAAATTTGCACAGCGATACTTGAACAACAACCCAATGTTCAATTTCAAATTTTCGTAGCAGACAGATGGTATTTAGTTGAAAAATATTTAAACAGCCGAGTGTTGACATGTGTATTTTCTTTTGTCCCCATAGTGATATTCACCGCCGAATGACCATAACAAAGAATTTGCAGGAAGTAGCATGCTAGAGCTGGAACATTCTGACAGTGCCAACAGCAACGTTTGGGTAACATTCTTCCAGTTCCTTTGACATAATAGTCTATCTCCAGTTAGAACAAGTAAGTCTAACCACTAGATCTATATGATGATTTGGGGCAACTCTGGCTTCGTTTTATATTGTCATTTTAACTTGACTGTTGATTTGTCAAATTATTGAATTGAGACTCAATTGAAAAGTGAGTACCCAGCCCATCGCTGCCCGGCTTGCTTTTCTCATTCTCTCAATCTGTCTGTCGAGTCCAAGTCAGTACTCTTTCAGCCACAATATTTTCTTTTCTAGGAAGCTTGTTCAAATCAGATTTCCTCAAGTAAATAGAAAATTTGGACGGATTTCAGTATCGAGCGACCACCCCAACAAACAATAAAAATGGACCTAACTTTAACTCACGACTCACTTCAGACGGGTCACACAACAGTTGCGTGACCCCCCTCGCGACGGGTCTCACAAGCCCTGCGTGACCAACTTTGGAATTTTTTTTTTGCTCTACAAATCACGCACGGATCGCGAGACCCGCCTCGTACCCTTGTTTGGCCAAGCCTGAGCTACTTAGACTTCGTTTCGTATCTCTGGGGCCGGTAGTTTTTAAATTATTGAAGTTGAAGGACAGTGACCCCAACTGGGGTTGAACAGACCGGAACTCGCGCTTTGTTTTTTTTCTATACAGCTGATAGTAATCCGACAGTCGCGTCGTAGTAACGGTCGAAGAAGTCGCATGAACAAGAATCACATAATTTCGCCGTTTTCTATACTTCTGTGCGTTTTACTAGTTCTAGTGCCTCAGAATATGATGTGTCTAATAGTTAGAATCCTGGATATGTACCCGAACACGGCCCGAGTCGTAGTTCTAGGGCTAGATCTAGCACTAGTACCGGTGTTGTTTTTCGCGCAATGAAATCACAACGTCGTGCTGTACATCTGTCAAATGTAATTCAGTGTATGGGTCTGAATCAATGCACAGACCAGCTTTTATATTTTCACCAAACACTCGCACATGTATACAAATCAAACCAGAACACTTTGAACTTTTATTTTTGTTGTTGCAGTGAATTTAATTCTACTTGTCATGTCTCTGGAAATTTTTCGGAAAATCAAATTCATGCCAATTTTTTAAAAATCATACAAATTAAAGTATTAGACTTAAACAACTTTAGTTTTTTGTATTAGATTAAGCTTGAATGTTACTTTACTGTGTCAAAAAATGATTACAATAGGGTAATTCTGAGAGTTGTGGTGATTTATTGAAATACCCCCAAAAACGCCAGTCTTCAACGCTTGTGACTGGTGAAAGGGCCCAGTCGCAAGTGAGTTAACGCTGACACTGACCCAACCCCTATGGTACCCCTACTCCTAACCCTGTACCCTACCCCACCCCAAACCCTAACCCTAACCCTCTGTTTAGAGCCGGGTCGGGCTCGCTAAATCAGCGTCCGCGAGTAAAGAACTAATCGCTGGCACTGCCGCTCAAACAAGTGGACGGGTAACGAGCATTCCGCTTGTGAAGAGTAGATTTAGATCTAGTTTGGTACTCGCTAAACATCCGACAGAGACAACAGTTCGTTTAGTGAACGGACGGAGACTCCATGCATTCGAGCAGGCGAATGGACGGACGGGGAGCTACTTCTTCGAATCCATTGCATACTACTTACACCCCCCCCCCCCCTCTTCCCTAAAAAAATCACCCTCCTGTCCCACTTTGTAACTATAATGCGTTCATGGCGGAAATTTCTCTACCCTCCGAAAAAAAGGCCTTTGCAAATTCTTTAAACTTCACCTTCGAGGTAAATTGGAATGTACACAGTGTGACCCACACACAAGATGAAAGTACTGCATCACCAGCCTCTTTCACTCCCTGTGGCACCGCTGGTGGCTTAAAACACAAGGCCTAATTAACAAACAATAGACGACGGACCTAACCTGGCGTTGAGTATCTTGTCTGCTAGAGTTCATCCGTTCGCCGGCCCGCTCAGTGAATGAAATTGTGGAGCGGGCCCAAGAAACGAACTGATTTGAGGTCCGCAGTTCGCTCGCTGAGAGAGTAAAATTGTGGAGCGGACCCAAAAAATGAACTGTCTTGAGGTTTGCAGTCCGCTCGCTTGGCCATCTGTTACCCGCTCGTTCAGACTGTGTTACCCGCTTGCCCCAACTCTACCTCTGTTCTACTCAGTTTCATAGTGGTCACTTGTTACAGAATTCCTCCTGAAAAATTAAAGTACTAATGCTTCCAATACGTTATGTTTGCACTGTTATTGTTTATAAATCATTCATCAGGGAAATCAGTACAAGATCTACTCATGATTCATTGTATTTGTATAAATAAATATAATCCTGCCTCTGAATTTGAGCCGTTCTATTGCTCTTGAAAATATCAAAACTTATTTTACTCAACAGAAATTTTCTGCAACACACATAATTTAATTGTTTATTCTTTGTTAGATTTCCGAAGAAAAAGCAAGCATGTGCATATTGCTCAGTTTAAAGCTTTTTGTAAACCAAATTTACACTTCATTCAAAGTAGGTGCGTATTTATTTTAAGACATGAGTTATGGACAGACTGTACTGACTAAATTTCACACTTGTCCACGATCACAGACTTGTTCCTGAAAAGGTGGAGATGAGACTGTTTACCATTTATATTTCCTAATTATTTTTTTTAATGTGTTTTTGAATCAATAATATGTATTCTATACTTTGTTTCTTGATAGCATTACACTCTTTCAAAAACAAACGATAATTGATTATTGTTGTCATTATATTCCAGATATAGTGAGGATGGTGAAAATCCATATCAAACGTGGGGATGACAGCCAGTTCCTGTACGAGGCTTCGATTGATACCGAGATGTCTTTGATACTCAAAGACTGTGCTACAATATTCAATGGCCGACTCAAAGTGGACCGGATCTGTGGTGGTAAGACATTTTTCTCTTTAAAATACTGATCTACGTAAAAAATAATGTACTGCTATTAACTGTTTATATATTGCCAATTTTTGTTTCTACTCAACTACCTTTTTAGTATCTGGTCTGTTTTCGGCTAGATATTCTAGCACTAGCAAGAAAATTGTTGTAGGCAACGGGGAGGAATTTTAAAAATTTCTTCTGGGTGTCCATAACCTTTGCAGATCTCTTGAAATGTATTTACCGAACAAGCTGTCATGACAGTAGATTTATTGTGACGTTTCGATGTGTGACTCCAAAAACAAGTTCAAAGGCACTCTGTTTACAAGTCTTGCATTGTTCAATATATTATTTTGCTGACAGGTCCCATGCTGATTTTTATATTTCAATTCTTCTTTTTTTTAAATGTCAGAAATGGAAGAGCTTGCAAAGCATGGGGTGTCTTTACCGCCCAACATGCAAGGCTTGACAGATGAACAAGTGGAAGAGCTGAAGTTGAAGGATGAGTGGGGGGAGAAATGTCAGCCCAGCGGTGGAGTAAAATTTGCCAAGGACAAGATTGGCTGCAGGAATGGACAAGGTATGCCATTGCTCTTGCTCGTTCGGTTGTGCTACTGTGCTACTGGCGTCTTGGAAGACATTTATTTCTTTGATTCATTCTTACTACTATGACAGCTTGTGTGTTAGACCCGTTCCTGATTTTCCCTGCAGACTGCCAAGTAAATGGGAAATCTCCTGGCTTTGCATGTAAATCCTTTTGACTTTTCAAGTGAAGAAACATGACCACAGCCAAATTAATTTGACAGCTTAAGAATGATTTTTTTTTCTTCTGACATCTTGTGAAGTGTTTTGGCTCTATTATCACCACTATGGTTAATAAAGAACTATTATTTTTGTTCCAATGGCAGGAATTACGTATTTCTCTTCTGTGGGAAGTGAAGTTTTTAAACATGTCTCTTAGTTTTCTCAAGTGCCATCAAATATATATATATATATTTTAAAATGTTAAAAGATGTACTAACAAGACTAGCTCTATACCACTATAAAGCTGACTGTGAAGTTTTGTGGTTTTACTGGACTGAGGCTCTTTTTTTGTCAGTGTGCTGACATACAAGCCTCTCCTTGGCTTTTTCCTCTTCTTGATATATGAGTCGGCGTGGTGAAATCAGGTGCTCGTCAAAATAATGAAATTGAAGAAAACAGCTTTTATCACATTTTAATTTTTGGCTCAACACTTTTATGTTAATTTAAAAACAAATTGCTATATGATGGATTTTACTGAAAAATGTGTATTAAAGGAACAAAAATGTAAATTTACAGTTTCCAAGGACTCTCAAGCTTTGGAAGTCTCCAGACTTTGGCCGCCATTTTCTCGCTAACCTTTTCTCTAAAAGCAGCTGACCCCCACCTCGTTCACTTCAAACTATCCCGAATTCTATTAAAAATATTTGGGTAATTATTTTTCCATTGAAAGCAAGAGAAATGTGCAAGCTTTAAGATGATACCAGTAAGTCCACATTCCCCAAAATTGATGAGCACCTGATTCTATTATGTCATGACACATTGTGTATTTCCATCATGGAGAATGAGCCACTGTAGGGAGTTGTCAAGTTTTGAGACTGTTGGCAGATGTACATGAGTCTTTAGAAATACTTTTTGGGCTTTGAAACAAAAGTAAGATGTGTATGTTTGTGGAGTTGCATGATGATTCCTCAGAAACACTCTTGGGAATTTGAAACAAAAGTAAGATGTGTAAGTTTATAAAGATTTGTTTCAGTATTAGCTGTTGTTTTTTTTTCCCTGTATACATTGGTTCATGCTGTGAGACAGAAGTGGGAAGTGGTGAGTGACTGCGAAAAATATTAAGATAAAAATAAGAAACAAATGAATTTGAAGAGTTGATAATTATGATATATGGTGTGGTACCTGAAAACTTAGGAGAAAGAACCAAAGAAAGATGCTGATGGTGTTTATGTTGTTCATACTACTTTCTCTGCCATTGTAAGACCACACGAATGTATTCATGTCTAGTCATTTCTTTTGTCAACCTTGTGCTATGCATCTGTTTTATCTGCTGTGTACACTTTACTGCGTTCTGCTATTGCATATTTTTCTTTTACTGTTTTCAGCACCCACACCCAAAATGGCAGAGGTTCTTACGAAAACTATTAAAGAAGCGAAAGATATGATTTCCAAGGTAATTATTATCATTGAAATTAATATCACATTTCAGAATACCTTCAGACACCTCATTGATTTAATTTCTATAAATTCTTTTCCGAAATGGAAGTCTTACTTTTAGCCATACTTCATTTATTATACTATTTGAATTATAAATAAGTTACAGCTCGAATCTGTGAAAACTGCAGTTGGCGTGCTAGTCTTGGAAGTATTCAAAGTATATTAAGGCCTACTATAGTATATCAAGGTGAAATGTTGAAGAAAAAAAAACTCTAAGGAGGAGTGTCATAAATGACTAAGTCAGGGTTAGGGTTACCACAAGTTGTCAGGTGGCAGTCAAGGAAATCTAGGTGAAATTACTGAAAGCTTATTTTATATAAGACCTTTCATGGTACAAGCAAAAATTTTGATGTTTTTAACCTTTCAATTAATCTAGACCATTCTTTTTTCTTTTGGTTGATGGAAGAAACTGTAGACAATGCTACTTGTGCCAACAAAAAGAGCTCAAGTACTATTGTTTGCTTCTGGCAGTTCTTCTTTCATGTTACTTAAACAACTGAACCAATAAACTTTTTAAAAACAATTTTTAAGATTGATAGAAACAAGTTTTATACGTTGTGCAACTGTTCAAGTTTTGCTTTGCAGTTACCATGGGCCTCGTTTCTTTCTTCATTTATCTTTAGAAAAAAGTGACAGCCGATGAACAAGTGACTCAGAAAACTGTACAAGACGCCCTGGACATTCTCCGTGGAGCTGTCACCATTGTGTACCCAATGGGGTTGCCTCCCTATGAGCCGATCAAAATGGAGTTTGAGAACACTGAAGATCTCTCAGGGAAGCAGGTAATTTGTTAGTATTGTCAGAGTTTAAGGCTCCCTGTTTGATGAACCTTTTTATTGTGAAAACACTGTCTGTCCACATGTATGTGATGCTGCTTTTGGAACCTTCGTTTTTTTTAAAAACACTAATGCTTATGCTTATCTAAAGATTTGGGCATTGTGCAAGTTAAATGTATAATTGTGTAGAGCATGAATTTTTTCAAAGCTCAAATGTTATGAGCTGAAATGAAAGTCTAGGGTTTGAGAATGTAAAGTTTAGGACTGTCAAGTGATGAGTACAGCTATGCTTTATGAACACATCGATAGTCTTTGCTTTGGATTTTAGTATATCTGATTCAGCTGTCCATGGTTTGGGAACAGTATGTGTCCGACTTTACTGGATTAATTTAGTATATCAACTCATACTCATAGTGACAGATAGCCTTTTGTGTCCCGAGCACTTTGATGTAATCCACTAAGTCAGTATGAGGTCTGAATCTCAACATTATGATGTATGAGAAGTGCATAGATATTTCTAACAGCCAGAGTGTTTCCTGTGCCTTCTAATTGGGTTCGGGCAGTGAAAAGTAAGGGACTCTGTCTTGTAAGGCATCAGAGAAACCAAAATTGTCTGTGTGATCTTCTCATGGGTCTTACTCTTTCTACAACTGCTGCGATGAGCTATGAGCATGGCCGTCAACATAACCAGCAGCTGTTTGCAACTCTACCTACAGCCCTGAGACCAAGGTTTAAGGTCGGGAAGAGTCTGGATTTTCCTCACAGTTCTTGGAATATTTCCTCCAATCTTTGAACCTTCAAGTCTTTGCCTTTAAAATGGCCAAACTCTAAGTATGAAAATGTGATAAAGTCGACCATATACAAAAGTAATATATGTTATTTCCCGTGTCCGCGACAGGCCTCGTTAGAAGTGATCAACATTGTCGAAGGGATGATAAAGTCCACCATGTACTAAAGTATCACGTTGTTCTCCTGTGCCCCAACAGGCCTGGTTAGGAGTGACATGTTATTCTCTTGTGCCCCCAACAGGCCTGGTTAGGAGTGACATGTTATTCTCTTGTGCCCCCAACAGGCCTCGCTAGAAGTGATTGACATTGACCAGGCCTCTCTGTGGTGGGCCGGCAAGGAACTGCTGCCTCACAAGAAGCTGGGAGACTTCGTGGGCAAGAATGAAAAGACAAAGATTGTTGCCAAGTTACAGAAGGTAAACAGATGTTTCCAGTCCTCTAGAATGAACAAATAATTCTTGGTGGGTCGGTATGTAGAGATCATGTCTCTTCAAACTTTGTGTCTGAGGGTATGACTCCTAAATGATCAAACTTTTCTTGAAGAGTTTTAATTCAATACAAATTCTATTACATGAGGTCATTTTCACTGAAAGGAAACTTTAATAGAATTCAGGATCCATTTTCAATAGTTTTATTGTGATTTGGCTCCTGAATTTGCTTTTTGTTTCTTGTTTTTTTGTGTGTGTTATCTTCTATTTGTAATTTTGACTTATATTCAGCAAAGGATAACAACTTTGATATAGAGAACTGTCTCATTGAGCAAGAGTTTAAAAATTATTCGGAGGAAATACAAGGCTGCCCATCATTACGAAACTGGTGGAATCGTCACGATTTTAATTAAATTTAACCAAAATACGATCGTAATGCCCCTGATTATGATTTTTTAAAACTCTCTGCCAACCTTCCTGGTGTTTAAGAGGACAGTCTACATGACTATGTCACGTGCGATCTACAAATGCTATATATATATATGTGTCACGACATGATGGAACCAGGCACTCATCAATTTTGGGGCTTGTGGAGTTATTGGTATCATCTGAAAGCGTATTTATTTTATTTGCTTCCAATGAAAAAAATATCCATTTATATTGAAAAGAACTCAAGATATTTGCGATTGAAGGAGGTGAGGTCGCCTGGTTTCAGTGGTGAAATTACCGAGTAAATGTCCGCCAAAGTTTGGTAACTCGTATAGCTAAAGTCTTTCAAAACTGAAAAATGACAGATTTTTTGCCTTTAATCAGATCAGAGTTTCACAAGAAAATGCTTTTTTATACAGACATAAAAGAGGTTAAGTCAAAAAATATAAATTCGCTAAAAATTTCCAGACTGGTGGAAAACTGCTCGTTTCTGCGGTTTCGTTATTTTGACGAGTACCTGATTTCACCACACTGCCTCACATAATCTACTATTTCTGAAAAAGATGAGCGTTGAGGTTTTTTCTGAAGGTTGCTAAATGAGCTGTTATCTGTTGTGTCTGTAGAGAGGTCAAGGCGCCCCGGCGAGGGAACCGGTGGTCAGTCAGGAGGACCAGAAACACATGATGGCATACTACTACAAGAAGCAAGAGGAGTTCAAGGTTAGAAAAATGTCTTATATATATTGATGGTGTTGTGCTCTGTGTTGACTTCTCTGATTTTGAAATATTTTTCAACACACAAATTTTTTAAACAGCATCCGAGTAAAAGAATGAATAGAACCATGATCGCCGATGTCTGTTGCGGATCTGGCACTGGATAATGATGTGTTGCACATGCCATAAAACTCAGTCTATCTCTAAACATTTTGTTTGCCTTTCAGAAATTGGAGTCGGACGCAGACGACTCTTACCTGGACGCGGCCTGGGCAGACAACGGTCAGCTCAAGCGACAGTTCCAGGGACTGAACAACATCAAGTGGGGGCCAAGATAGGTCAGGGTTACTTCCCTGGTGTGGTTGTGTGTGGACTGAATGATTCTCAGAGAGAGGTGGAAGGTTTTCGTGGTATGTGTAAGGTTAATGGACACCAGATGGTATGTTTTCTGTTTCCTTCCCGTGGGTGAAATTTTATCGTTGATTACGTTCATTGAACTGTTGTTTCAAGATGTTTTAGAGTGAACAAAAGAAGATTGTTTTTGACAAATGCATCTTAAGGAGACTGTCAGGCTGGTGTGTATGGGAAATGAAGGAGAAGATGGCTCATTTTTATCATTTGTAAATGATCATTAAACATTTCATTTTGATATTTAATTGCTACTGTATTGTTTTTTTTTTCATGTATAGCAGGACTAACTTTCTCAGTTTATGCCTGCTTGTTTGTTTTATTTTAATAAGTTTTACAGCGCTTGCAACACAATAAGCTCTTATATATGTGCCAAAGAATACAGGTATTGCAAGAGAGTAACGAACATAAAAAAGAAAGAGGAGAGATCAGGATGATAGATGTTTGATAGAAAAGAAGGAGCAACCCACACCAGAACACCCACTAACCACATACGCCTGCTAGTTTCGTGGCGAAAGAACTCTCTCAGCGAAAAGTGTAGGAAGTTTGTGTTTGAAGTAACTGCAGATGGTTTACCCCCTCGTCGACACAATTAATTTAGATCATTTAGAAGGTAGGCAACTTCAACTCTGCCTGTCGGGACCACTATGGGCTGAGAGGAATGCAATGTGTAAACAGAAAGGTGGAGATACCCTATAAAAATTCTCCCCACTCGGGAATCGATCTCAGGTCTTCTGCGCACTACAGCAAAGTGCCTCACCACTACACCACAGACACTGGTCATATGTATATATATATGTATGTATACATGTTCTGTATTTTTATATGTGGGTATATTTTCATGGTTATAACACAATTGTTCACATCATTTTTGTTGTTGTTGTAATTTTGAGAATACTTGGGGAAAACAGTGCTTACCAAAGTCAAACTTTTCGACTTGGAACAAAAGTTTTTGTTTTTTTTAAGTATCTCAATAATTGTAAATTTAGCTCACGAAACAAAACTCTGCTTTATTGAGGATGAGAAATGCGCTACAGGCTTTTTTAAACATCCCAATAACTACAAAGCTGAAAAAAAATGACTTGCACAATTGTGTTTATGGACCATGACGACATATAGACAGTGACGATATAATTATATGTATTACTGTCGTGATCTATGCCAAAGACACAACACAACAACCCAAGGAAAGTTGAGAACCGTGGACAAATCAGCAGAACAACAACAGGTTTCATCATTTCCTTTTTCAACTGTATTTAAGTTTTTACAAATTATTTGTAGAAATAAATGCCTCACAGGAATAAACTGTAAGAAACATAACGGGCAGAGACACATAGTAGTATACAGTGCTTGGTGTGAACGGCTAAGGTATAGGGGAAACAAACGTTGTCCTTCCACTGCATCGGGGACAGAACCAATGAACACACAGAAGAAAACACTCGTATATGCTCATAGTCATACACCCCCCTCCCCCCATCTCTCTTTCTTTCAGTTTGTTTGTCCGTCCATCTGTCTGTCTGTCTTTCTGTCTGTCCGTTTGTCTGCTTGCCCGCTCACCCACCCGTCTGCCTGCCTGCCTTCTTCTCTGTCTGTGTCTGTCTGTCTGTCTGTCTCACTGACTCTCTCTCTCTCTCTCTCTCCCTCTCCCTCTCCCTCTCCCTCTCTCTCTCTCTCTCCCTCTCTCTCTCTCTCTCTCTCTCTCTCTCTCTCTCTCTCTCTCTCTCTCTCTCTCTCTCTCTCTCTCTCTCTCTCTCTCTCTCCCTCTCTCTTTCCCCCTCTCTCTCTATCTCTCCCCCTCTCTCTTTCTCTCTCACACACACTCACACACAAATAAACACATGAATACAAAACTTGAAACACGTAAGCATTATGTACACAAGCAAGCACCGGCATACAGAAGCACACGCACCAACGTATACGTCGCACAGCCTGCAATCTTGATCACCCGGCAAGAGTTTCCTGTAGGGATTGATGAGTAAATAGGGAAAAAAAAAATTGTTTTTGAGCCTTGGTATTCAGAAAAATTGCATGGACTAAAAACTGCATTTCAGCATGAAACTGGTAGTGAACTGCAAATGTAGAGATTTCGGAGAATCATTTCCTGGGAAAGTATTGGCACTTCTGACTTTGAGCTTCAAAAACGGACATTGATACAATGACAATGGCCACATATCCGATTTGGCATAGGTTTGTAACACTGGACCCAATTCATTAAAATGTATAAATATACATTATATATGACATATATATCAAAATGGAATATTCTAATAATAGTCATAAAACTCTACACCCTGGGATGTAGAGATCTGGTTCAGTTCACATAAGATGAGCCTCGCTCACAAAGCAGATCAGTCACGTAACTAATTGTGTTTTGTTCTTTTTTTTTTTAAAAGATAGATTTGTTGAAGTCACCCTAGTTTTTCAAACAATTTCTTCAATGGGTATTTTAAAGTGAGATAACCCTTCATTTCATTTGACAGATCTGAAAAAAACCCCAGAATTTTGCTGTTATGGTAATTGCGTGATACTGTCAAAGTGAAGAAAAAGACTGGGCTGTGTGAAGATTTAGGTAAATAATGTCTCATCTTTTTTCCACTGTGTCCTCTAAAAAATATGGTTGGTTTAGCTTTAGAAAAATCCCTTTAGAAATGGAAGATGTGCCACACCAATGCTGAGTAAAGACACCCAAAGTGTCAGGGATAGCCGTGGAACGAGACTGAAAAACACCTAAAACAGCTCCATACGTCCATCTTCTAGAAACTCTTACGTACAAAGTTCTCAATGTGTGTGGTCTTCAAGAAAATACAACAATTTATTGTCATAGGAATAAAATAATAAACAAACACGCTGGCTTTTGATCTGCCACAAAAACTGCTGTATAAAAAAGCCAAAGTCACAACCAGCTTGAGAAAGTGGTCAATCCAAAAAATATTGTAGCTCAAGGTAGTTGTACAAAAATAAGAAGAAATATATCGAGTTCACTCACAAGGCAGATCAGACGATTGATGCAGTTTGTCTGAGGCAAAATGATCTGGCTCACAAGTAATGGAAGGAAAAGACGTATTCAGTCAGGTTAGGAATTTCAATTGTTAAACTGATAGAGTAAAAAATATTCCTGATAGAAGATCTCTCTGCTCTTTAGAGAACATCCTATCAATACATCGAGATTTCACTCTGAAGTAATCTTTTTGCATATCGTAACCTTAGAATTATTGCACAGTTTTATCTGAAATTTTTGGAAGTTTTGAGTTACTAAGACCATGAGGTGAGAACCCAAATGTATGTTTTATATCCTCTATCAAAATTGTAAGATTATTCACGGATTCAGTATATTTATCAGGATATTCCAAAAATTGCATTTTACAAATTGTTAATGTCAAATTTCTCAAAACTAGGTCCTGAGCAGATAGATCTTTGGAATTCTATGGTAGCGAAATAACTATCTTCCGGTGAGTAGCAAAATAACTATCTTCCGGCCCATTTGGAGGGGGGGGGGGGAGTGGGAATGCACAGCCACGAACCTCTACGTACCCACACCAAATGTCCACATGTAAGAGACGAAAATGTAGATTGGTTAAAAATGACATTGATATAATAGTAAAGATGCAGACATTTTAGATTTAGGCTGGCTGGTCAAGAATCAAAACAGAAGTTTGTGGTCTCAAGTAAAACGTTCTATCTTTTTTCTGAACACATATTTCCCTCACTTTAGTTCATTCAGTACCGCAACTTGTTCACTTAGTCACTCAGCTCCAGAAATGGTGACATTCCTTTTTAACTGCAACCACACACGCAATGATGAATGCTTGTTCTGCATATATTATGCATTAGGGTCCACTCTCTGCTATGGTCGTTAAAAAGAAAACTATCACACTCATCATGGTTGTGGAAAAAATGTCCCTCCATCATATTTGATGCTCTTCCTTTTATCTAAAGAAAAGGTTTTACTTAAAACTTCTTACAACTAAATACAGTTGAACTTCTGTTCCCAGAAGTCATAAGATAAAGAAATCTTACTTAAAAAAGCACATTTTTTGCTTTGTAAAAAAATGTGTTTACAAAGTCATAAGAAAATCTTTCGCTGGGAATCTGTGATAATTAATACTTTTAACAAAAGCATTTGTATTAAAAATGAAGAAACTATTCACTTCACACCCACACACACACACACACACACACACAAACACACACACACACACACACACATACACATATACACACACACACTCACACATGCATGTGCACATATACACATACCTGCATGTGCACACACATGCATGCACAGACACTCACACTCAAACACACATCATGATCATAGTATATTATGCCAAAAGTACAAGACCTTAAAAAGGATTCATTTCATTAAAAACTTTGAGGGCTGGGCTAAGTTTATCTAAGCAAGGGAGAAGGCCAATTTGTTTGTTTTTAAAAATCAATTTGAGCAAACTGTCTCAGAGATATGATGATAAATTACCTCCAGCAATATAGGCCTACATGTAGCACTTCCTGAAGTTATCTCTTTTTTTTTTTTTTTTCAAAATAAGCTCTTTCCTAAAAGTTGATCCCATTGGAAAACATTTTTTATTTTTAAGTCAAATGACCTTTACAAAAACACTTTATTAATTAAAAGATTTAAGTTTCTGCAACTGGCACCAAAAACTATCGAAACTATTATAATATTTTCTCCGGGGCTGCGATAGCTCCTTTGATATTGTGATAGCCGGCCATGTGGGTGATCTTCCTTTGAATCTTTGATAAAGAAGTTTAAGTAAATATATATATTATATGGTATTTGAGAAAGACAGCTGTTCTCTGTCTACCTGACTGTATCCTATCAGAGGAGAATGTTAAATGTGAGGCCATGTCTCCGAAATAACCTTGTCTTGTTGCTTTGATAGAGATGTTTTCCCCATTCCATAGATTATTATTCTCTATACATTCCTTATTTAAGTGGTTTTTTTCTCAGGTAGTTCCTCAACCATTCAAAGCAAAAAAAATTTGATATTTTTAATATAACTGGTATGAATTGATGTATAACTCAGTGACTAATGTAAGATGAGAAGATATGAACTTAGGCATAGGCTACTTCAATCTATTCTAATACAAAAACAGTTTTAAAAATAAAGTGAAAAAAACCTACCCAAAACACACCCACCTTATTCATTAGCTCCTAACGAGAAATCCTAATTCTATACACTCTTTGCATAATGAAAAAGCACAGCTCAATATACACAAAAGTAATCATGAAATGAGTGATTCTGGCTCGAGAGAAAGCAAAAATACTCTCAAATCAAGCTTTTATATGCACTAGGTGACTTTAGCCCCTCCATAATATACTGCACTACATACTGTCTCACAAGCTGGATGCTTTTGAAAAATAAATGCATCATGTCATTTCCATATTTCTTTAAATTCAGGTATGAATGAAACTGTACAAGTAAATAAATAAATATCAAATAAATGTAAAAAACTACATTCAACTTAAAGTTGATCAAACTATGATACACCTGTATATGTTAAACTACAGAAGTGAGGTAACTGTTATGACATTCACAACATAAATTCATCTAAAAGGAATTTTTAAAAACCATTTTTTTATAATTTGGTCACTACACATTGATTGGAAATTACAGATTTAAAAAATAGCATCACATTTTTAGCTTACAAAGATGGCTTTTGATTTCAAGCATCTTTTGAATACCATTTGATTATGGTATGGAATGCCCTATTCAAATGGTACTATTACTTTTTAAAAATAAATATAAAAATCATACAATTTATTACACACAGATGTAAAAGGGGTTGAACATGTGACAAGAGGTGCAGAAAACGTGTTGCTCTAATCTTATTGCGCTGTTTTCAATAGATGGCCCTGCTAAGTGACTTTACTTAGTTGGAGCAGAAGACCTATAGGACTGAAGACAACTTAGACAATAAACATTTGTACTCAAATATTGTGCAAAAACAAAAACTAGCAACAGAGTACTTCAAACCTCTACAATTCGTTTGTGACAACAGAGCAGTAAATTACAGGCTAAACATTGCTGTTACTTTTTTTTTTAAACATGTCGACAAACAAAATCAGAACTAGTTGTCAATACTAGGAACGGCTACGGCTTCTTTGAATTGCTGTACAGTTATTTGGGAATTATTATCTCCATTTTTCAACTTGTTGTATTACCTGAATGGTTTTCTTCAGCACTTTTAATACTTGAAGTTGAAGTATTTCCTAGAAAGTAAAAAAGTAATAGCTTATGAGTGGACTTGCACGGAGCAATCCAATATTACCCATATGAGACATTTTCAACAGTTGGCTGAAACATGGTGCAATAGCCTAACTATTCAAACTGTTTGTGCTCTATGGCTCAACCAAAACAGTTCATTCTAAAAACCAAGGGCATTTCTCTTCTCCCTCGTTTGCGGACTAGGTGCCATTGTATGCGAATGCGTGCACATTAATAATGAATTTTTTCACAACTCCAAGAATCATATACAAAATCAAGAATATCAATAGCAAATAATTCAGTGCCACAGCTCGTGAACTTCACCAGAAGACATTACAATGTTTTTTACTTATGACATTCCATTTAGAAAAAAATAGCACAAGACAGTAGATAGAAGAAAGGCTTTAAGACACATGTTGATATCCACTTCTGTTTTAACAAAACAAAATCTTCCATGCAGTCATTTAAGTCAACAAAATATTTCTGAAAATAGTAACAGTCAACATATGCAGGCTGAGCTAATGACATGAATGAAGCACAGAGATGCCCTATGTGTATGTCGTGAAAACAGTTTCGGACAGAAAAGCATCATCACAGCACATAAAGAAAAAAGAAACAAATTTCAAGACGATAATAACAATAATAATAATAGATAGCAATTGTATCGCGCAAATTCCTGCTCAACAGCAAGCTTTATGCGCTTTACAATCTATATATAGACAACACCGACCCCTGATCATTGCATAACCCGAACCAACAAACACGGCAAGTTTGTGAGCCAGTCTCTGTGAGAGAAGGACATTGACCAGTAAACAGTGTGAGCGTCGGGGCTCCTGGAGACAATGACAAGCCTTGTTTTGCACTTTCCATGAATGAAAACTCTCCTGAAATTCATTAAGTGCTTGTTTAATATCTTTATTCTTTTTTTGTTTGATTTGAATTAGACTTTTGAAAAAGGCATACGCCTATCCTATATTCCCAAAGGAATTTTGGCTTTGAGCATCATAAACAAAGACACTGTCAAATTTATTATTTTTAAAGTGAGAATTTAAATTTGTTCGAATTACTGTTTGATATTTGAATGTTTGAGAGTCACAATTTTACAACATCTTCATCGACCGAGGAAAACTTTTACCTCAGAACAACAGCCCACAGAAAAATGGGAATGAAAACTCGTCCTTCCTCTCATGATCACCCGTTTCCCATATACAATGAAAATCATTTACTAGATTTTAAAACTGCATCCATTATAGCGTACGAGTACCATTCATATCATACGAAGAGAAAATAACCTAGGCCTACATATATTCTCACAAACCAACACAAACGCGTATACACACACACACTCACACACACACACACACACACACACACACACACACACACTCACACATGCATATGCTCACACGAACACACACACACACAAATATACACACACACACACACACACACATATATATATAGTCCAATACGCAAGAATAGATAAAAACATTCATTCATATAAAACTAAAAAATGTACACCTGAACGCACTCACATACAAATAAATAAATACCCATTATGAAATATGAAATGAATGTGTTCACAGAATTCAAACCATTTACTTTGGCATTGTATTGCAAATTGTACACAAAAAAATTATTAATAAAATTCATCAATAAAACAAGCAAATAACACATAAGGAATTGTAGAATATGTACTTAAGTTGAAACCATACTAACAAGCAATCAGCGTTAACATTATACAACTGTTACAGCACCAATATTCAATATGCTTTCCCCCCTTTCACTTTGCTTTTTACTATAAGTTTTTTCCCCACATAAAAACCCTTGACTTATTTCAATGTAAACAAGCATGTGTCACACTTTTTATTTTTTTAGTGACGAAAACAGCTCTCTAAAGTCGGACAAAGATAACCACAGGAAGTGACAAAACTGCCCGTTGTGTGAGAGTAGAACTCTTGACTTCCATAAAACCAACATTACAAGTAAACAGAAACTATAACCTCAAAAATTACACAAATCGTTTTTCGTGTCAGAAGTAAGCGTAGACAAACACAGATTGAGATACACACCGATACTGAAACAAGCAATGGGACTTGAGCACTTCTGGCTCTTATAGGACCAAAATGTCCTTGATAGTGTCGCAAAATGTCTGTCACTCAATCACTCTATTAATTTTGAGCACTTGCTTTCGCTTCAAGAGATATTTGTTCACAGTTAATTCCCGAAAAATGAGCCGTGAAAAGTCACATGCTGTGTATTCTACTTCACAAGATGAGACAAATCCCATTTTATGCAACTTTTTATGACCACAATAAAGTCTGAAGGTTGTTTTTCTTAGTTTGACCAAAGATAGTACATAACAAGGTAGTTCACTCAGCCCAAAAAGTGTCAGCGGAAGTCCGCGCATTGGTTCAGATGTCGCTGCAGTCTTCTGTTTTGAAGCTCTCTTCCGTTTCTCCAGAAGAAGAAAAGGGATGGCACCCCCATGCGCATCAGCTGTTCCAGTTCAGTCAGAGCGGATTTTTGGGTTTATTTTATTTTAATGACCACTCGCTTCTCGTTCTAAAGACAAATTAAATCAAGACAATAGTCACCCCTTCCACTTGAAGAGGATTTTTGTCAGCATTAACATTTAAAAAGGCGTTATTCATAAATTTTAATTATAATATAAACAAAACCTGTTAGTTTTACTTTGATTTTTTTCCACTCAAGTAGGTTGACTCTGTTCGCAAAGTGGGCGCTTTTTCGAAGAGGGCGTCACCGGATTTTGAGGACACCTTTTTAATTGATTCAAAGAGAGGAGTGAACCATCTTATTATACAGGATCTTTGGTTTGACTGAGCTTGTCTTTCCCTGCTCTGAAACAATGGTCAATATGTAATTTGCTTCTGATTTGTTGAATTCAAGCTGGGCAGAGTTCTTCAAAACCTGTTTGGTGAACATTAAAGGATGAGAAAGGTTTCGATCTTGCTTTGGCCTTTTTCTTAAGCAGACTACATCATAAATGAGATTATAATGCAGAGCAAATGAAATACCAAGCATCCAGAATGTTATACATTTCGATAAAAGCGGAATACCACAGACATGAACATGGAATACCTCACACATAAACACTGATTAATTACAGACAGAAAAACGCAGAATAACACAGACGTAAACAAGGACTTACTGAAAACATTAACACGAAACACAGCAGACATATATATGAAATACCACTGACATAAACCCCTTATAACCACAGATATTAGATTTAGAATACAGTAGACACAAACGAAAAATACCACAGCTGACATAAACATGGAATACTGCAGGACTACCATTGACATAAACATGGAATACTGCAGGACTACCACTGACAAAAACATGGAATACTGCTGACATAAACATGGAATACCGCTGACAAAACATGGAATACCATAAGCATGAGAACAGTCCAGTGACCCTGAACGTCTCCCTACATCAGGTTTGACAAAGCAACTCCATGTTCCCAATATTGAGAAATGAACCAAATTCAAAACAACTGCTTCTGGATATCGTTCTGTTTTGACTTTCCAATCTCCTTGGCTGCCTTCAGAACAAACACATGGTTAGGATGTGCATCTCAAAGCTCCCAGGGTCCACTTGACTGTCCGCTTGAGTGACCACTGCTGTCCCATCCCCCACATAAGGTGGTCAGTCTGGGCAATATTAGGAGGTTGGCTGCCATCTGCACGGATGACTCACCGTATGTGTTGTAAGACCCACTAAATGCTGCTACCATCCTTTCCTCGACTTTAAGCAACACAGATTGTCTGGATATATGTGAGCCAGTGAGGCTATACACGAATCTGGGACAAGGTCCTTGAAGAACTGCTTCCACCATCTGCTGCCTTCTGGAAACTGCCAAAAGTCTCTTCAATCGTATCTTGATCTTTTCCTTCTTCCTTCGATGTGAACAACATTAGGTATCACCCTTACAGATATCACAAGAGAAACCAAAGCCGACGTACATCAGCCGTAGTAGTTGACGATATCTCTGTTGTTGGAATTGCTGCGGAGGCTGCGGAGGGTCGACCGTGGACTGAACCTGACGACCTCAATACGATCGATGGAGTCGGAGTGTTCCAACATGGGCGCCTCGAGAGAGCTGTGGTTGTTGCTGGTGTAGGCGTGGCGGTGAGTGGGCTCGGACACGTCAAGGCGGGCGCGGATGTTGCGCCGGAAGTTGATGCAAACTTTGACCAGGATGATGATGAGCATGATGATGATCCCTCCACACATGCCCAGCGTGAAGTACAGCCAGGCCTTTTCTTCGTGGTCTGAGGAACACAGTACAGATAAAGTGACACAAGTTATCTTCCTCAACATTACCAGTGTCATTATTTGTTTCTTTCCTGCTCCTCCCTCCCCCCTCTTCTTTTCCTCCTCTCCTTCTTCTTTTCCTTCTCTCCCTCTCCCCCTCCCCTTCTTCTTTTCCTCCTCTCCCTCTTCTTTTCCTCCTCTCCCTTCCCCTCCTCCTTTTCCTCCTCTCCCTTCCCCTCTTATATTTCTCCTCTTCCTCCTCCTCCTCCCCCTCCCCCTCTCCTTCTTCCTTTTCCTCCTCTTCCTCACCCTCCTCCTCTTTCTTTTCAAACTCTTCCTCCTACTTCCCCTTCTTCTTTCTTCATCCAGCTCCCCCTCCTCCTTCTCTGTTAAATAAGAATTTCCAGTGTTTGGCCACCTAAGACTTCACCAGAAACACCATGTATTTCTCAGTGAAAAAAACAACAACAAAAACTAGAGACTTACTTACATGCCCAACTTTCACTGTAACATTATGATAATTATCTATAGTGCGGTAAAAAATTAGTGGCGCAACTTATCGTTAAATATCTCTTATGCAGTTGAAATACTGTCACCCACACTTTGCACAGCAGTTTGTATTTAATCATATTTTTCCACTACATTTTAGACTAGATAAAAAAAATTATCTTCTTAAATTTATATAAAATACTATAAACCTTTGGCACGCGGAAAATGGGGATTGTTGACAGCTCTTCCCATTTCACACATTGCATACACATATGGCCTACATCACAGTACACCAATCATACTTGTTATTGGGCAAAACTTGAGACAAGAAATTAAGTTTATAGTGAACACTTTTTTACACTAAAGGTTCTCAAAACATGTGATCAATAAGCATAATGTCGCGATAAGAAAAAAAACGACGAACTTGGTTTTAAAAGCAATATTGCCCCAGCAGTAAATTTTATAAAACCTGTGGAAACCAGCGACGGGGATTTTTTATTAGCATAATTAATGAAGAAAATTTCTAAACTACAGTGTACAGGTGTTTAAAAAAATATTCATCTGTTAAGACAAATTGATATAAGTCATTTTTCAAAAAGATGGTGAATCTATAGTTGGAAATATTTATTTGACAATAAGTTGCACCACAAATTTTTGACCGCACTATAACTTCCATTTCTATCTAACACCCTGTTGAATGAGACAAGTGATGCATATGTTATGTTAACATGCACAACTCTCACCACTATAGTTTTTCCCCTCTATTTGTCCTGTTTAGATTTCAGTAGCACTTTCTTATCCCTTTTGTGACCTATGACATGCGCCATTTGTCATCTTTTTCTTTTACAGTGCGGAACCAGGTTGCTGCTGTGACATACAGCATTTGTCATGCCTTGCAATGCATGAGGACCATGATGACAAATGCTGTTCATCCCACTTTGTATTTGGCCTACTGCTTCTGTTAGATAAATTCATAAAACTTTTTGCAGATTCACATAATATTAGCATTCAGGGACATTTTTTCCTGTGCAAAGAAATCTATTTCTTTGAGAGTTAGTGGTCACAGGGTCTAGTTATAGGCATTCGACCACTAAATCTAGTGCTCCTCTTTGTCCCTGTGGATCTCCAACTGTGCCCTGTGAAGCACCAACTGACCCTGTATCATGAAGGGGTCAAGTTTTATGAAATCATGAAATATTTATTGTGGAAATGAAATACTTACTGTGGAGAAAATGCCAGACACTGAACCAGTCTTTGAGGAAACCGATGGATCGCTCATCCTTCGGGCGTTCCAACCCTCGCCATCTCACGTCGGGCTTGGTGTAGTTGATACAGAGCACAGTCAGATTTCTCTCTGTGACATAGTGAGACTCAGACTCCTTGTCTCCCCCTCCCTCTTTCTTTTTGCCTTTGTTTCCTTTACGGACCTCCTTTGCATCACGGCTGGTACCAGAATTTCGTGTGTTTGACGGGCGGTCGTGGTTCGAGGACGGTGTCGACTGCCCACTGACCCTGCCCACAACATTCCCATCCTTGACCTTGTCATTTCTGCTGCCTTCAACGTTTGGAGTATTGGTACTCCTGCCAGAAGTTCGGAGGTTTGAATCATCCAACACATTCACATTTGGATAATCAAATCCAGCCTGATTGTGGTAACCATCTGTCGTTGGTTTGGGCTCTTGGGTCGTCCAATCATGATCAAGGGATTCCCTATTTCTGTGAGACATATCTCTCGCTGTGTCTGAGGAGCTCTCCGGGAGGTGGCTGTCAGTGTTGACCTCCTCCTCCTCAGCCGCATTCTGCTTCTGACTTGTAACATCTAGGATGCTAGCGGTGGTGGTAGTTGTGGTGGTAGTTGTGGTCGCAGTAGTGGTAGTAGTGGTGGTAGAGGTGGTGGTGGGCAGGTCTGTGTCTACCTCTGTCACTACATCCGTCCCTTCCTCAGGCTGGCTTGTAGTCTCTGGTTCATCCTGTACCGTCACCATTTGTAAAGTGACGTTTTGAGGGTCTGGGGAGTCCTGTGGGTCGTCTGGCATAGAAGAGGATGATGTCAGGTCACTTCCCTCCAGCACAGAGTCTTTCCCTGGGAACAAATACACATATAAAGTTGATAAAACCCTATAATATAATATCAGAAACTTATGCTTTGGCACAATTTCTTTTTTCTCAACTGATATAAAACAAAAGCAAAATTTTAGATTTCTGACACTTAACCGTTTTGATTGTCATTGACCTAATTAAGATGAAGTGGCCTGAGATAATGTGATGAGTGAGGGGAGGGATGATTGATTACTAGTTGGTTTGTTTGGGGGGTGACGTAGGGGGAAAGTTGTGTGATGATATATCATATCACGACGCAGTGAAATCAGGCGCTCGTCAATTTCAGGGCAAGTGAAGTTATTGGTATCACCTAAAATCTTATTCATTTGTTTTCAATGGAAAAAAAAACCCCCATCTATCTTGGATGAAGTCAAGGTATCTGTGAACGAAGGAGGTGAGGTCACCTGGTTTTAGTGATGAAATTAACAAGAAAATGTCTGTAAAGGTTTGATAACTCCCAGCAGCTAAAGAGTCATTGAAAACTGAAAAATGTCACATTTTATGCCTTAAATCAACGTTTTTTTCAGCTAAAATTCACATGGAAATATGTTTTAATATGGAAAAAAAGGGAGTTGAGCCAAGAAAACAAAAATTCGATAAAAATTGCCTGACTGGCAGAAAAACAACACCTCTACTAATCTCCGGAGCATATACGACCTGTTTGTGTTGAAAGTGCCATAAAACTCTTAGCATGACTAAAAACAAACCCACCTTCAGACGTGAGCTCAGGTACTATCTGTGTCACACTCTGCACCTCCTTTGTCACGCTAGGGACTGTCTGCGCCACACTAGGGACCGTCTGCGTCACACTTGGGACCGTCTGCGTCACACTGGGCTGCTCCACAAAAGTCCCGTACTCCGGATCTGGAAGTTTGGAGGCGGATCCAGAAGTTCCTTCCCCTTCTGCTGGGCTCGCAGTGGTCAGACGTTTCACACCTCCTTTGACCTTGTTCTTCTTTTTCTTTTTCTTCTTCTTCTTCTTCTTCTTCTTTTTTCTCCTGTTTGACTTACGGTGGAGCTGTTTGAGTATTTTCTTTGGCACTGGGAGGAGAAAGTGCAAAACAAAGACATTTAGAGGAAGGAAGAAATATTTTTTCTGTGTGGCTACATTGCGTGTGGTGCAAGGGAAGGGTACTTATAAACGGTGAGGGAAAACAAGCAAGTATCTTTCCACACAAACAAACAAGTACATGCCTTTTAACAAAAAAGTACATTTGACAAAGACGTTCATGCCTTTTCAGATATACAAACAAGTACATATCTTTGCAGACATACGACTAAATACAAATCTTTTCAGGCATAGAACTGAATACATATCTTTGCAGACATAAAAACGAGTACTACTACTAGCTGTTCCCCAAAAAAGCTGTCCATTTAAAAAAACAACACTTCATAAGTCGAATGGTTTTCTCAAAATCAGTACCATAATTGAATGGAAGTTCAATAAACTTTGTGAATTACGTTGATAGTCTATTATTTTGATCCTTCAATCAAGGAATGTTATGGTGTGGAGCCAAACGGAATAGTCCTTGGTTGATAAACTCTATAATAAAGCTGGATCCCTAAAAGCAACTAGAGCCTCATTCTGTGCTCGCTTTGGGGTTGATCGAAGGGCCAGAAATGATAAAAATCCATCTGGAATGTTAATAGCCCTTTGGGCAGGCATCTTTTCCAGCTTTGGTTTACTTGAGAACGGACGTAAAAAGTGTAGGCCCTACACTGAGGCAAACTATTCAGGTCACCCTCTCAGTTCTTAGACAGACGAGAATGTGGCGCAAGTGGAAGATTCTTTATTGTTGTAGGCCATAGAGCTGATAGACTGTATTCAGGTGGGTGGTTGGCGGGTGCTCTGGTGTGGTTTGCTCCTTCTTTCCTATCAAACATCTACCGTCCTTATCTCCCCATTTTCTTTTTTACATTTGTTACTCTGTTGTAACACCTAATCTTCTGGCGCTCATATCACCTTCTGCAATTGCGAATGCCGCAAAACCTCTACTCGCAAAACCTCTACTAAAACTAAAACTAAAAACTGTTTCAGTTCTATGTTGTAGGCCTATTATTAAAAGCACAGAAACAATCAGTTAGGCGTGAGAGCGCTGTTTTTTGAAAATTTCCCAGACCTCAGTAGACAGAACACTGAAACAAGATTTAGGACTGTAAAAGCATACTGCATTCAGACACACCAGCACATATCAGAAACTACAGCACAGGGGAGACTGAGAATATGCCAGTGGTTTATGAATAAGCACAGAAAAGATGAATCCTTCATTAAGAACGTGATTGGTTCAGAGAAAAAGTTAATCCTCATTAAAATTGGCATGTGTTGATTTTTAAAAAATCAACTTCATTGTTTGGGGTTCATCGAGGTTTGATGAGGTAGTTGGGAAAATCTCTGCTGACTGAAAGCCACGGCAAGGATGGCAAGGAGTTACGAGGGTATTATTGGCCTCAGATTTTGTTTTGTGGAAGAGGGTGGTGTCTCTGTCACTGTCACTGTCACTGTCACTGTCAAATTCCGGAAATTTCGGACCGACATCAATGATTTCAGCAGGATATGGTGCCACGGCCCATACAGCGGCAGGGGTCTGTAGGTGGATTGAGGATCCACTTTGTCGAGACAGTCTCCAGGATCATAGCTTGAGCCATGTTTGGGCTCCCCACAACCCAGACCTCAACCCCCTGGATTTTCACCCAGACGACAATAATCTTTTATAACCACAGTAATGTAGTATAACATCCTAGATCGTGCACCCCGACGTATTTCCGGTAAACAATGGAGTGGATCATTTGACTCAATTTTAACCAAATGAAGGGGTTTTTTTT